GATCCCCGCGATCAAAAATAATTTTTCCAGAACGATTTGGAATTTTTTGTTTTCGCCGAAAAATTTGGGCACTTATTCGAATTTCTTTCTCGAAACTGCGTAGGATTTCGGGGATATGTCTAATCACCAAAAATGTTTGTAATTGATCCCCGCAACGAGAAATAATTTTTTCAGAATTTTACGCGGAAAGGGCCCGTGGGGAAAATTAAGAACCACCGGTTTAAACGTTTAACCGTGTGCCACCCACCTCTCTTTCCTGATGTTGTAATGCACAACGTCCTCGTGCCTTCCCTCGATCGTCACGAAAATCATCGCGCCCCCGATACTGTACAAAAGTACGATAACAAATAAGAAAATGTGCGTGAACCACCGTTTGCTCCAGGAACTGACCTACGCACACAAAGTTCGTAACGCGTGAACGTTTGCTCGTCCACCGTCCATCTTGTACGGTGCAACTAATTACAACAACGCGGATATTTATACAGATTCGTATTTTCATCGATAGAACAAGATAGAATGAAACGGAAGTTTTTCAGAGGTTGGTAAATACAGGGTGGTTTGGGTGTACAGGTGTACAGGTATACAGGCGTGCAACTTGTGCACCTTTAAAACTTCCAAAGATGTACTCAAAAAAATTTTGTATTAAAAAATTGCATCGATTTTCATTAGCCCTAAACCTAATAACTAACGAGTAATTTCTGCAAAATTGCGAGGAAACAAAACGATATTACTCATTAATTATCAGGTTTATGGCTATTACCCTTTCAAACCATAGTAGTCTACTCTTTGAAATCATGCAAATTTTTTATACAAAATTTGCATAGACCACCCTGTATGATAATCCGTATCTTAAAGTATTTATTATATTTTTGTATATTAAGAGCGTTCCGTAGTTTTTTCAGAATTAAAGATTCCCATAAATGCATAAATATCCGCAGTCTACTAATTATACATATCACGAGTACCATGGATTCTACAACTTCCGGTAGAAAATAAATGCACAAATTGAGTGTCTCGGGTGTAGTAAAGGCGTAGAGTATCCATACTCGTGACACGTACATAGAGTGCTCGACACTATCGCAAAAATTTAATGTAAGATTCCAGAGACCAAAACAAGACGAAAATCAAGAATACCAATTTGTCGATGGAGGCCTCGTTAAAAAGTTATTAACGTTTAAAGTTACGCCTGTAGGACGGCGATCTGCGTACAGCTGCGCTAGTGGTGCTCACTCATAAAACTGTAAGGCTGTCGATACGTCGGTAAGCAGAGCTCCTCGTACCGAGTGAGAACCACTATCGCAGATCGCCGTTCTACATGCGTGACTTTAATCGTTAATAACTCTTTAACGAAGCCTCGATCAACAAATTACTATTCTTGATTTTCGTCTTATTTTGGCCTCTAGAAGCTCCCATTAGAATTTTTAGCCCATGAATGCTAAACACTCTATACAATTTAGCAACAACTGTGTTCTAGGTTTACGACGACGGACCTTCTCGTACAGCCAGAAGGCGCTCTTCTCCCCGACGCTAAGTCCAGACTTGGTGAGGTCCTTGATGCCTCTGAACTGGCTGAAGACGAACTCGCTAGCCCTGTTCGAGTACATCATCTGGGGCTGGCCGGATACAGGAGTCATGGGTATCGGTGTCTGTCCGTACGGCGTCGACACGTACCCCATACCCGTCTGCGGGTAATACTGTCCAGGCAACGGAAGCTGGATCTTCGGCCTCGGTGGACGCTTCCTGTCGCCCGGTGAGCTCGACATCTTCGCGAAATCGGTTGAGAAACGAGCCTGAAGGAGCTGGCCAACCAATCACTGTCACCGATCTGTTCACTTATCTGTGCGTTTCAGGCCCGTTAACGGAGGACGAGGCAAAACAACCACGATCTCGTGCTCTCTCGTTTCCTCGACAGGGTATCGTTTGTTTCTTCGACCAAGGGTCACCTGGGAAACATTCTTAGCAGACGATACGTTCTCTATCGTGGACTGTGTCGAGAGGAAAACTATCACGATAGCATATCTTGCTGTGGCTCCCAGTCGCGTTGAATGCGAAACTATAACGATTCTTTGGTGTCTTTTAGGATTTGGAGGTCTCTTCCTTGGACAGGGAACAAAGAGGAACGATATTTCTCTGGCTCGTTGACGAATAACGCTCGTGTTAGCTCGATATCTTTGGGGGGGAATTGTTCCTCGATGATCCCTCGATTCCGGGACACGTATTAATAGTTGGACACCGCGCGGAATTTATCGCGATCAGTCCGGGCTCTCCGCTGACTGAGTAATCCAAGATGTTTGGATGAAGAGGTTTCCAGGGGCGAGGAGATGGGGGCTGTTGATATATCGCGTAGTCGTCGCCCTATAATCCGGATTCGAGCGGCTGGAGTTAAATCACGGATCGGTGGCGAACCAGTGGATCTTTCGAAAGCATTTTTGTAACCGCGACGAATATCCGGTAAAAATGGTGATCTCGATCGCCTGGAACTTGCAACTAGTTTTCCTAATTTCAGGGTCTAGAATTGATCCGGCGATTTCCAGCGGGTCGTCAACCCCGAGTCTCGGATAAACAGATCCTCTTGCTTACCAATTCCTAGGATCCAACCAGAGAATAGTAAAGTTCGATAGATCGTAACCCACGGGTGTACCAGTGTAATTTTTAATTGGAACGTTCAGAGGAATACGTTTTTTTCTCTCAGGACTTGTCGCTCGAGGATCACGAGCGTTAAAATTTAGGACAACGATCGAACCATCCCCCGCAGCGTCCCTCTTTCTCACGCAGAATCCCTTTCCGTCGTCAAACGGGTTCCAGAGTCGTCGATCGGTAAGGTTTCGGACCTGTTCCTTCGTTTCTGCACGATCGAAGGAACCTTCGTGGGTCGTTTGATTTTAACGATCAACACGATCGCGTTGCACATCGTCCGCACCAAGGAGAGATACCTCTCGAGAGCTAGGGGACCAGGTGGTCGAGACAGAGTTCCTGGCTCGTCGATAAGTCCGCGACACTGACACAGTTCTCTAATCAGCGACTTTTAAACGGATCTCGACTTGCGGTGTCCTTTTTCTAACGTTGGATTCTTCAGGTTCGCGACGCCTCGATGTTATCTTTCCGCGTCGAAACCGCAAGTTACCGCAGTATTGCCACGAGTGTTCTTTCACCGGCTGTTTGTTAACTTTAAGGAATTATTTGTCGAAAATACGAAGGCGAGAATGGTTGAAACGTTCGAGTACGTGTTCACGGGTACGTGTTCGCGTGCACCGAGTTCCCTTTGAATAATTACCCCCGTTTCTGTCAGCAGGAGAGAGAACACCGAGGGGGTAAGACCGTACGTGCCTTTCGGAAACCTCTGGCGGCGGCGTCGCGACGCCAACTGACTAGGGTTAGGACCGGCGACGGGCGTCGAGGCGTTTCGAAACGGGCGGTACGATCCCCAGGGCCGTACAAACGCGGGATAAACTCCTATTTCTAGCAAAGTTTTCAAACAATAAAAAAAAACTAGTTATTCCTTACTCGAATAGATATTTGTTATTCGAGAATTGACCGACTCAGGGAACGAATTTTTGTTAGTATAATTACATAAGTTATTAATGCGAACCATTTTTCCCCCATGAAATATTTTTTAAAATTATCAAAGAAATGTGTTTGTTACAATATGAATAAATTGTAAAATATTTTTGTACCGTCGAGGTGTTTAGATTGGTTTGGTTCGCACGAGACACCCCTCTGTGCAAGGTCGAGTGGTCCAGCTGACCAGGATATAGACCACGAGTCGTTAAAAAATTTAACAACTTGTATCTCGGTAACGAAGCTTCGGATTTAAATGGCACGAGACTTTATCGATTCCTTTCGAGAAATTGATCCCGAGGAAGGGGCTGTATTTTTATAAACATCCTGTATACGCGTGAAACGCCGTGTCCGTTGGCGAACGATTCAACGACAGTCGTTTCTCCGAATACACGGAACGGCGTGGGCCGGTGCGTTACAAGACGACTATTAACAGCTCACGCATGACATTATTGCGAAATTCCCGTATCATCTTTCCCGCGGTTGACGTCGCCAGACCCGAGGACCATTAACTTCGAACGCTAGTCAAGCTACACTGGATCGTTCTAGTAATTTTCAAAAATAACCGAGCAACAATCGTTTTTAAAATAAGGAAACGAGAATCAAAGTATAGAAAATGAAGAATAAACTGAGGAAGTATCGACACACTTGGTACATCGGTTTGTTTAACGCGTTAGCTGCCAGTTTTCCATGTCCAAATTGAGAAACGTAGAAATATAAACAGTTACCCTTTTAAGTGAAAAAGACCAGTCCCCCCCTATATGACTCGACTTCAACAAGCTACGCTCGTTAAAATATTTAGAATGTTCAGATTCTATATTTGGGAATATCTTGAAAGATTTTATAAAAATTCTATCTTAATTTTATTTATAAGATACCCCCAACATATTTTTCAAATTAAAGTAGCGTTATTCGCAAATATCAGGGTTCTTCCATTATAAACAATAGTGCAACACGTTGTGAGTTCAAAGTGTCGGTCACCGGTGACCACCGTGGCAACCAACGCGTTAAGACGTCCACTAAAATGTTCGAACGATTCTATTTAAATACACGAACGTTCAATGTTTGCTCCTGCACGGTATCTTGATTTTTAATTATTGGAACCGGTGGTGTCGGATTCGTAACAGACACCGTTTGATCTGTTCCGAAACGGATTCGTGGAACAGTCCGAGCCAAAGTGCAGCTGCGACGTTTTGTTCGCCGCTTTGATGTAGGCTCGACCGACATCGCTTTTCGCTGCGACGCGAAAGGGTTGTTTTCTAGATCACGCGACGTGCTCGTGCAAAAAAGAAACGAGCAAACCGTCGCCACGAAACAAGCCTGCGACGCGGAAGATTATTTTTAGCGTCCGGAAGACGCACGGTTAGTCACAAAATTATTGGCACAGATATACGTACATATAACGAATAAACGGCTCTATTGTTTTAACGCGTGTACAACAGATGCGTCTTTGTGCAAAGATTCGCTGAAAACCTGTTGATCGATTCTGTGTATTCGAAACTGTGGGCTCTGCTTTTAACCGAGACACCTAACCTAACCTAACTTGCCGGTTTCTTTCCAACAAACAAAGGGATTTGATTTCCTCGATAATATACGGTCCTGTAACCTAATTTTCGAGTTCTATTTCTATAGGCCAGTTTCTAAATATTATTGCAATATTCGATATCGATTCGGTGGAGAACGAGTCGATCGGTCTATCTCGCAAATCGTCGAGATATCTGGTCGTCGAAAAAGGACAAGCAAAATATTGCGATCGAAACGAGAACATGGGCAAATAAATTAAACGTAATTTCGTGCCATATATGGAGATACAAAGGACTTCGTACGAAGTAAATGGATCGTTTCGAAAGAGGGAATAGCGAGTGTTCGAACGTCTCGTTATCATTAACATCGGTATTCCAGCCAGGAATTTGGCAAGAAGGGTAAGAGAACGGCGTAAATGGATCACGGTCGTTCTTTGCCGCGGCTCGAGTGGCTTTGAATTGTTAGTCCAAGGTCGGAGGGGGGATATAAAAGTTGCCGATTTTGTTGGTCGGGGAAACAAAAAGAAGAGAGCCGGGCGTGGCAGTGAAAAGTACAGGAACGATTGCGTATGTTCATACGGCGAAAGTTTTTCGACACTCGTTCGAAACACGCCCTTGTACCCCACCTGATCCCATCACGGAGTGGCTGGGCCAGGCATCTCGCTAGCCGGGCCCGAGCTATATAAGATTTCGGCTACGAAACGATTGACATGCACTTGCCTTCGTACATCCTCGAAGAATCGACCGATCCAACAGCCCAACCGTCTCACAATGTTCTCGAAGGTAGGTAATTCGATTTATCGGCGGTGTCTGATACAATCGACGAACAAATATCAATCTGTGTAACTTTCAATCTCGAACGGTACATTTTTGTGATCTCTAACAGAGTCAAAGGGTCGATACAGTAATTTTATTGTAATTGTCAGCATTGTTTCGGGAATGTTTATTGGAGATTAGACATTTTTCAAATTAGTACCTTTGCCGTTCGATGCAGCATCTGCGCCAACCTAGGCAACGAGGTTAGAAAGAACATCTGATCGATGGATTTTCTTTTTAGATCGTAATCCTCGCCTGCGCTCTGGCAGTGAGCAACGCCGGTTTATTGGCCCCGATCGCTGGACAGTACAGCTTGGCCACTGGAGCTTTGACGTCTACTTCGGACAACATACTTCGAAGCAGCGGAAATCTGGCGCAGATCGCGACTCAATCGAAAACGATTGCCACTCCGTTCTCGACCAGCAGCAAGTCCGACATCCGTGTGACGAACCCGGCTATCTATGCGCACGCAGCCCCCTTGGCTTATGCTGCGCATGCAGCTCCATTGGCATACGCCGCGCACGGAGCTCCATTGGCGTACGCTGCACAGGCTGCCCCCATCGCTGCACACTCGGGCCCCCTCCTCGGTGTATCCTACTCGCCAGCCGTTGCTGTCTCCCACATGACTTACAGCAGCCCCATCGGCGTCTCTTACTCCTGGTAATAGGCTCTTATCAGATCACCGTTGCTCCTACGACTCGACACGGCAATTCGTTTTACGATGCTGTATTTTTATTATAGTTTCTACTTGAATCTATTTATTAAATACAGTACACACTGAACGTGTAAACAGGTGTTCGATCCTTACCCCCTACCTACGGCTACCAACGAACGTGTTAATGACAATTTAATTCATTAACACTCCGGTCGTGTTTTCATTGTAACCTCGGTACAGCGATACCAAGTTACAGAAAACCTGTTTCAAGCTCATAAAATGCAAAATATCTAACACGTTGCGTACTTGTGTAATTTATTTATATTTTATTGGTAGCTTTTATAAATTTGACAAGCTTTGTGAGAATATTACCGTCGTGCGGTGTAAACGCTGTCGATATTTTGTGGTCCGAGGTGTCGCAAATGAGTATAGTGTAAATTAAGCCGGTAAACTCAGACGTATCGTAACGTTTTCACGTTTATTCGATGTTCGATTATTACATTCTGTGACATGTAGAATCGTTTCCGTCGCAACAACGATCAGTCGTCGTTGTAAACGTAAACGCGTAGTTGGCAGCGTCGAAGAATCAAGTTTCTAATCCTCTCCGACGATCCGTGGTCGTTCTGGCAAAGCCCTTAGAGAACCTTGACTGCTCCTAAACCGTTCAAGGCCAAACCGTTGAGTCCTAGAGGCGACAGACCGGTGGTGAGACCTGATCCAGCGAGCGCAGTGGTCAGTCCAGGCGCAAGGAGCGTAGGCGCAAGAGCAGACGTAACCACAGGTCCTGAAACAATGTAACAATCGTCGTGAGTCAATGTGAACCATCGGGGTTCGAGTAAATGATCGAATAGAACCGAAGAAAAGAAGAACCAGTCAAAACATTAGTGCACATAGTTATCGATTTGTTAAACAATGGTAATTGTAGTCGACGGTGGAACACGAGTTATCGGTGCGAAGGTTAGAAAGTTGGAAGAGTACAGGTTAGAGAAGTGGAATGACAGAAGGGAAGCTGAGAAAAGCGGACCAATAAAATATCGGTTCTAATTCTAATGCGTAGAGGAAGCGTGTCGGCAAGCGATTGCCAAGCGCCCAATTCTCTCAACGACAATCGCGATTAACGTCGTTCGACATCGTCGTGTACGCGGGTGGCGGCGCCACTATGCAGCAGCAAACCGACACATTCCGATATAAAAGAGTGAACAGTGGAGATTAAAGTGTAGTCGATGGGAACAAATACAGCGATCTTCTAAAGCCAGTTTAAAAATATCTGTAAAGCGTTCCTGCGGTTATGGACGCCCATTGTCTTCGTATCCTTTAATTTTCACGAGATTGCTGTACTTGTTCCGCCAATATGGACGGCACCTTGCGATCAGGTACCTGCAAGAGCAGTATTTGCGACCGTGAGTACAGAGGCGGGCACAGCGGTCGCCGTCACGATTCCAGGATTGTTAACGCGCACGTCCGCTTTCCTGACGCTACTGAATGGCGTGTCTACGCTCTTGGCGTAGGCTGAAATGGCACCTAAGTTACCGATACCCCGAATTATGTTAGAGCTGGACGTTGAGATAGTCGGTAGTGCGACCGTGGCCGCAGATAGAGGGAGGGATGCTGCACCCGGCTGCACCGCAAGCGCCGCAGGCGCAGTCGCGAGCAAACCACCGCCGATCACGCCAGCCTGTGCGACCGCCAGCAAACAACCACAGATGATCAAGAACTGGAACAGAAATTTCAAGTTTTTTCTCTCTTTTTCGTTTTGCAAGACTAAAAGTATCGGTATCCAGCTACTAAATAAACTGATTTAAAGAAAGAACTTTGTCGTATTTTCATTATTTTCATTTATGCTAATTAAAATTAGTCCAAACACGACATAAATCAAAGCTACTTTTAATTCACTTAATGTATGCAATGTTGCACGATACGTGTATTTCCAAAATTCCGACACGGTCGAATCAAGAATCGAGATCTTTTCTGAATTTTGCAAACGACGAAACGAAACGGTACTATTACTCACCTTGCACATGATGAAGAGCAGCGGTAGATCCTGTCTTTACAGTTAAGAAGCAAAGTGCAGAAGCGAATTGAATGCATATCGCTAATCTAACAGAGTATTTATACGCGAGCTCTAAGCAACCCTACCTGAACGAGTTTAAATAATTTTTACCCGAAAACTACTTGGTATCGGGTGTCCCCTCGACCAAAGGCGTATAGACGGCTCATAGTGAGCCGACATTGCGACACGTATATACGTGTAACTGGAACGCATTTGATACCCCTAAACTCGAGCGGATTGTCACGCGTTGCTATCATTTTCGACGGAGTTGGGAATTGCATCGAATTAACAATTTACAATTAAAATTGAATAGTAAGGAAAGGAACGTGTGTCGTCTTTCATTAATTTTAGAAAATAAACTGGACAGTTCTATTATCCTATTCTAGTTCCATTTAAATATTCCGTTATATTTTTCTAAGCCTTCCTCGATCATTTAAAGCGGTTAGGCGGAGTCTTTTTGTATTTTTGCAACATTTAGTAACTGCCTCGAGCTTTCGATGGCAGCGCATATCGACAATTGGAGGAACAAAGGACGGAGACACTTTCGCAAAGTTGCTCAACGCGAGTGTATCTCAAATTGCGGCCAATATGTATCGTTATTGAACACGTTATAGGGTTACGGTTTAGCCAACGTACAGGATTACACGATAGATATGCTTTAACCACGGATCGCGGACCGTTTTGTCGTAGATAGTATCAAACCATCGCGAAGACCGTTTCGTATTCGACAGCCTGGACGAGACACTTGGGGTGTGTTGTTTTATCATTTCGTGAATTTCAAACTATCCAGTGTTTTATCGTTGATTACCGCACACATAAAAGTTATCGTTTGTTGTTCTCTTTAAAAATTATTCGTGCTTCTGCGAATGATCGGAGAAGGCCAACTGGATCGCGCCTCGCCTCTGAAAAACAATTAATCTATCCTCTTTGCAGATGCAAATAACCTATATTTTGTAACGAATACATATGCATGAATACAAATAACTATCATTGGACGTTTATTTTTTTGAAGCAGAAATCTTACGCGTATATGTCACGTGTATCAATTTCAACGAAAATTATGAGAAATCGACGAAACTGTAAGATTCCTGTATTCGAGGTTAGACGTAACACCCCTGCAACAGTAATTTTTTACGAATAGTGTGCGGATTCAGTGTTTGAAAAATTCTTAATGTCGATGCGAAATTACGTTAGAACCGTGCAGACAATCTCTCTTTACGACTGGTTTTTTACGACACGCTCATTATGGTTATGACAGTCGTGTCGAAAAAATTGTTCGATTATGGTAAATATTGTTATCCATCGTTTTAACAGATTCGACGTTTATTCGTAGCATTCAAATAGCTACAGAATATTCATAAGTCGAATATTAAAAAAACATTAAAAGAATAGTAATAATGTTGAAAAAAATTGCGATTTTTCAAATCGCTGATCACGATTATAAAACCCGAGATTTGGCCAACTTTTAAGCCCATTGAGCCCGTTGGCCGTTTCGTGGGAATCGCGATATAAATGGAACAGAAGAACGAAGGGGGAGAGATTTGACGTAATTGAGAAGTGAACGGGACCCACGATCGGTTGCACGAGTTACGCAACTGACATTGGCAAACTGTAGCAGTAACGGGGCACGGCCAAGAACTTCGTGATTTCATAAGTATGTTTGCCGGGGGCGAAGGAAAGCATTGTTATTTTTTGGTAAGTTGGTTGACGCGTCTCTTTCGATTTCTGATCCAAGGTTTGGATTTGCGAGAACCAAACCAAAGTCAAAGCACGCATCGAGTGCTTTATCATTATTTCCGATTACACGTGGATATAAATGGGTCTGAAAAATCTAGAGATTACTGGCAGAGTACGGAAAGGAACTTGTAGGTAGTTACATAAAGTCTTCTTTTCTTTTTTTGCTGAAATAAATTGTTTTGATAAAAATCTTAAAGTACTTTGTTTAATAGCTGAAATGCAAGTAACGAAATTTCATATTTCTTTGTGGACGGAAGCATCGAAACTTCAACTTTGCAAAGATCAACATTTTTCTGTAAATTCGCGACCAATGCGTTTAATCGCCGAATAATCGTTTTTGCGTTACTTCTTACTTTGAGTATCATAATTTTTCGATGCTTCCATCACCGATGGGCCGTCCCCGCCACCGATGGACGAACACTGATCCATTTTACGAGTTATTCCGGGGTTTGTTTCCATGCATTCGACCAAAGGTTCCGTCAAATGTGCAATGGACTTTTTGTTCGATGCGTCGTGCGTTTTCTCATGCTGCGATTTCGACATACTTGTATTCAAAGTTGTGCAACTGGTTACAAACTTTTCTAAGATATCTGAAAATTGTACTGTGTAAACGGGATGATCGCCGATTTAAGATCGACGTAATTACGTTCTATACGTATTTCGTAACGCGCATTACCTGTTAAATTCATACTTTCTTCGAACAAACAAATATCATCGTGAGAACTGATGCTGTCTCTACTGAAAAGGTGCTCTCTGATATTGGTCAAATTTCTGGATTCTAACTTATTGTCGATCGTGGATTGATCGGCGAGATCGGTTTTACGCGGTGTTTTGTACATGACCGACCGTTCCGTGCGCATTTCGCGTCCTTTTTTAATGTAAGGTATCAGACACGATAGATTCAATTGACCCCTGGAAACGCTGTTCGCTGTTTGTATGGATAACGGTGATTTGTAATTTTTCACTGGAAAAAAATAAACGGTAAAAGTGTAACGAGGAATGCAACGAATTCTATCTGTATCTGTATCTGCGATGTTTACCTGTATAGGGAGTTCTTATGTAAGTTACAGATTTTTGGTATTGTTCGTAAGACGATCCATAAATCTTAGATGCCAATCGGCAGCTCACGTCTAAAAACGCAAAACCTGTATCAGAACAACGTGAAACGTAAAAGTCGATGTTATAAAGTTAAATACCATGAACAGTATCCCCTTGGCCTTTCCCATTCTTCCCATAATTTGTGCTCATCAGCGATGTATTGTTCATGATGGCGACCAAAGCGGGATGCAATCTTTTGACAACGTTCAAAATTAATTCGCATCGTTTTATTACGCGTAATTGTTGCGGTTCTGTAGCATTGTCCGTCAGAAGTCTTTGCGAAGTGGCATCAGCTTCACATATTGCTTGACGATAAAAACAATTTTAAATGCAACTTTCGTTTCGTTTAAAAAAACGATCGAATATCTAGACCTCTTACCAACTTTAAGTTCTATGAGCATCATTACTGTTTCTCGTTTTACTATATCGCTACCAATATCGTTTATAGTCGTACTTATCTGACGCGACAACGACAATGATCTACGCACGACGCTTTGTACTTGCGTTTGGGTAACGGGTTCTCTGTTATCAAGGCGATTGGACATAATCGAGATACGTTCTTGAAGATCATCTAAAACTACCTAAATAGTATACAATAACATCATAATACTTCATATGTACCATTCTCCCACGAGAAGAAGGCACAGCGTGTTTACATCCCCACTCCTGTTGCAGTCAGCTGACTCACAGGCATTGGTCGAGAACGGTGACGAAGATCGGTGACAGCCAATCAGCGGACTGCGGCAAGAGTGGGGATGTAAACACGCTGTGCCTTCTTCTCGCGGAAGGACGGTATACACATATAACGTGTGTTTAATATCAATAATAAATGTATCTAAATATTAACGGAAGTTACTGTTTCTAAATTTATAGCAAATACCTCGCAGTAGGCTGCCGAATCCATAATTAGATTTATTGCATCCTGTAATCTGTTCGCTTCCAATTGCCACTGTCCGGTTAGAAGTTCTACGTTCGCGCGCATTTCTTTACTTTCTGGATGAAGATAGAAAGTAGTAATAGCTGAAATCAATTCAGTTTCCAATGATTCGAAGCTCGCCAGGCAATTTCGAATTTGGTTGATACCTGAAATAATTTATTATTTTGGCATTCCTAAAGAGATAAATATTCTCGAAAATTGAAAAGTAAGAATACAGTATCAAAATAGACATACGATTTCTATCTTTGCAAGAGGCAATAGCGAATAGTCCAATCTGCATGGATTTGTCTATGATCTGATCGAATTCTTCTATAGCGTTGGTCAAATCGCTCTTGGATCGTTTTTTTGCGTTTAACGAATTGCCGCAGATCTTAAAGATCTTTTTCAAAGCGTTGAATGGATCGCTGAAAACTTCCATGACAAGATTCAGTACCGACACGTTAATTTTACGTTCTAACCTATAAAGGGCATCGTTCAAACTGTTCATGAACAAATTGTTCAATGCCGTATCGCACGACTCGGTCGTCAGCTGAAACTTCAAATTTTCATATTCCGATATAATGAACTGGCAGGTTCCGGTGATCGCTTTGAAGTTATAAGGTTTGCACACTTGCGCGATCGCCATCGCATACGAGAACACGTCTTCTATTCGTAACCACAACTCTTTGCATTCCGGTATTTGCTCTTCCTGCGATTTATTCGGCATTTCCAACAATATATCCAGTACCAAGTCCATTCTAAATGCAAAGCATAGTGGAGAAACTAATGAAAACTCGAACAAAAGTTTGAAACTCAAACTTCGACCGAAAGTTGAAATTGACGAGGTCTGTGCACGTTTTCTTTACCTATATACAAAATGATTTTCTCTCTCGGATATTTCATCTTCGGGTAATGGATCTGGTTCATCCAGTATCTCTATTATCATCTTCAAGCAGAAACAGAGCCTTTCGCAGACATATTTCTTACAATTCTATGCGAACGAAAGCATAAACATCCAATTAGAAAAAAACTTGTATGTATTTTTTAACGTAGATATCGTAAAATGTTCTATTACATAGATGGATGCATTCAGCTGATGCTGCTCTTGTACCAACTGCACTAGCAGTTTAAAGGCAGTGCATAATTGACACGAATACAGTATGATCTTCTCCGCAAGCATACGAGACGATAAGCTTTTTCTATATATTTGTAACGGTCCGAGCAATTCCAAAATTGACGTGCCCAACTCCTAAGAATAGTAAAATTTATCTAAAGCATTCGATCGTACAAGAAACTATCACGAGTAAATATTTTCTCTACCTTGATATTTTGAAAGTGTTCGATTTCATTGGCTTGACCCATTTCGCTGATATAATCCATGCAATCCGTTAATCTCTGCTTCAATGGTAAACACTCTAATTTCTCCAAAGCTTCGAGCGCCAATTTAAATTTTTCAAGCACAGCGCATAAGATCTCTTCTGCGATTTCTTTGTCCACATTTTCAATCTGCAAAATACTTGTAAATGAAAATCTAGGAACAAAGTCCATTCTTATTCCATTAAACGCACCATCTCGTTGACATAATCCAAGGAGCAGAATTCCTCCACTATGCCGGCGATCCTCGATTCCATTTCCTCGTAATCGTTAATCTCTTCCTTCGACAATACCTCAAACTTTTCTCCCAGACATTCCAATCGTTCAAAGAGTGTTGATTTTGTCGATACAGCATCGTTCGCGCAGAGAGAATTCCCTTTAATCAATTCTCTCAATTTATTTACCTACGACATCGAACACGTCACTTTCCATGAAAACGATAATATTCACGAATCGAAAAAATTACAAGAATTCAGTTACTTGTTCTTCTATGGGTATTAAAATTCCTTTTATTTTTTTCGTTTTTACAGGCATTTTGATATGACTGGTCTTTCGTAGAATCGAGCAACGTAGTAGGCTTCGCAACTCGTTGTTGTTTGTAAATAAAATGAAAGTAGTATGGTAGTATGTAACCGGTTTTTTAACCCTCCATAACAATGGAAACCGGCGTCTGTTGAACTCTCACGGTTACGATTCTACCACGCATTACGCACTAAAGTAATCAACAACTATCCGTTTATACTTTTCTTTATTATGTGCAGTCGTTGTATTTACTATTTTTCAACGCATTTGTTTGTACGAAACAAGTTTTCTAAAATAACATAGGGGCTCGTATACTTCGTATCATCTGTGATACAACGTGAGATTCCCACAGTGGGAAAGGAACGAATCCGGTAATATCGACGGTCGAGCAAGTCGTCAAAGCAGTGGCCCATTTAATCAGATAATTTCCAATTCGATTCAAGGGAGACCGTGATAGCATATACGTACATGTGTTATATATACATGCTTCACCGCGTAATCTTACATGGACACTATCGTAGGTACAAACGTGCAGTGAGGATACGTTTAACCGTGTTATTAGTTTATAACGTTTGAGTATATGCATTTACCAGTAATTTTTTGAACAAATCACGTGAATCCACGTGTTTAAGACAAGGTCCGAAATCCGGATATTTCATATTAACGGATCGATAATTCGCATACTCTTGCAATCGTCGTGTGCTTGCACGGTAAATTTTCTGCTAAGATTGTTTTTTGGAGAAATTGTTTTCGGTTCTTCGTGCGTTCACCAGTAATTCCGATCGACGCAATTTACACGTCGAAATGAATAATTCCGTTCGGAAACTGGTTCGTAGTTATCGAATGCGAACAAGGGTTATGTAATTTATCAAATTTCTCTAACGGACGATCGTGTCTATGCAGAATTTTTCGTGGTGATGAATCAGTACGATTCGATTTACTTATCTATATTAGGATTATACTTTCCCCCATTTATAAGTGTGTTATAAGTTCTCGTAATTATTCGTAACAGCCAACTCTGTCGTATGTTTTTGTACTATCTATGTATGAGCTATCTGCAAATGCATGTGTAACGCTGTATCGGTATAACGATTATTTACAATTTTTAGGCTAAATTCTCTATAAGAACATTACTCTTATCTTTTCGATGAATCACAAAATCAAAATGCAAAAACAAATTTTATCAGTAAGTATATTTTTTGGACGTTTTGCTTCCAGGTCGAAGGGCAAGAATTAAATTGATAGAGTAATCTCTGCGTATGGTCGATTTTACATTTAGCGGGACTGGTTTGCAAGTCCTATGTAACCTTGTTCTTGCGTCAGGACAAATTATATAAGCCGGAAAGATGGTTAAACGTTATGAAAACAATATAACCTTCCAGTTCAGTTGGAACCAAGTTGTTCAAGGATTTTGGCAAAGATATCCAAATCCCCACAGGTATATCGCAAGTATAGATTATTTGCTTTCCGACTGTAAGAAATCGTTTAACATTTGGGTAATATTTGTACTAACAAATAAAAAATCAAACTTTTTATTTTAGTCTTCACGTTCTCTCGGAGGACACTGTGTCGAGAGAAATTAAAAACGGAGTGCTCTACACTACACGACTGCTCACAAAGACGAACAGATTACCTAAATGGGGAGAGAGATTTATCAGTAAAAATATTGTAAAAATTGTAGAAGAAAGCATCATGGATCCAAAAACTAAGACACTAACAACTTACACGAGAAACTTAGGTTACACCAAAGTTATGGTAATGCGGCGTTACGCTGTACAGCGATAAGATTTAAGTTTGATTTGAGACTCATGGTTCTCGTATTTTCTTTCTTTCGCAGAGTATCATGGAAAAAGTTGTCTACAGGGTTTGCGATGATAATCCTAACTGGACGGTAGCGCACAGATCTGCATGGATTGACAGCCACGTGTTTGGATTTAGTAGAGCCATCCAAGCGTTCGGATTGGAGAGATTGAAAAAAAATTATAATCTAATGTACACTGGTTTTAATTACGTTTTGGCGCACATGTTTCCACAGACGGCACAATATATGAATCCATCGCTGTCTCAAATGGGCTTTATTCATCGGGTAAGATCGAGACGCAATTTCCTAAAAAGAAAAACATTTCTGTGCCCGTCGACTGCGAAAATATTGCACGCTGTTTGATTATTTTCTTTCTCTTAGCTCGACGAAGGGATAAGATCTACGCTGGCAGAAGACTTCCAACATTCCTTTCAAGGCAAGGCGGAGAAAGTGAAGGACGCTGCGAAGAAGGCCACGGATTTAGCAAAGAAAAAAGCTGGACCGCTTTACGTGGCGTGCCAACCACAGCAGTCGTAAACGATTTAGCGGGCGTAAGAAACGCTGAAGAATATTTTGTTGATAAATAACGATAAATTAAGGGAGGAGAATTTTAAGACTCGACCGAGATTCCCAGCGGTCTTGTACGATGAGGCGCGTATCGTATAGAAACTAGCAGTAACTTTGACAGTCTTTGTATACAGCGATTCTTTCGTTCGTATAATAACTAGGTAGAGCCGACACAACGAAATTGTTAATAAGGATAATTCGGGGTGTAAAATCCATTCACAAGTTCGGATACCTATACAACCTTGCCTCCGCAACGCAAGAGTCGTAGTAAATTGTCGCGTAAAGAGCACTGCTGCGATAGTACTAAATATTATATGTTACAGTACCATTCCTTTCAACTGCCAATCCATTTTTAATTATTAAGAGCTGCATAATATGAGTGAGTAATTTGAGGTATTAAACGTAAAATCATTTTTTCTTCGACGACAATGGTAATTGTTTCACTTCGAGCTACTCTGATTGCATTTTCTCGGTTAAACGGTGTCGGACAAAATTTAATCAAAATTAATTTTGATTTCTCTGACATTGCATTGTTCCTATAGAATAATGAATCGTCAAACTGATCAAATTGTTGATTAAGGTAATAAGCGTGACACCATTGACCAATGATCAATTTAATTAACTAAAAATTCGTCATTTAATAAAAAAAAAGAGCACAATATTAGAAAGGTTAACGTTTAATTTAATTTCAATCGTACATTAATAAATTTGTTATTGCATTGCAAACGATGCGCGTTGCAGCGTGAAATATAGGAGTATTACCAAAGACATTTTTCTGAAAATTTCTACGAATTGAATTCACTAGAATAAATCATGATTCTCGTTGATCGAGTGTTAAGTTTAAAAAAAAAATACGTGAGACTACCTGTGTCACATTTGATTTTTAATGAGACGTGTTGTGCATTTCGCTTTTTGATCGTCGGATCGACGCACCGGTGCGACGATTTAATTTTATCTCTAACGGTTTGTATCGGTATTCGATGCTTGGTACTTAACGACAACTGTGAAATTTGAATTTTACATGCAATTAATGCAAATTTCTTTGGGTTGCGCGTGCAAGTTTTAACAGAATAGTCTCTGCAGTCCCTGTACATAGTAATACATTTGTATAAATGCAGTTGCAAAGAATATATAGCAAATCTATGTTGCACTAAATTGTAATATAATAGAGTCTAATTATAGTCGGCATTGTCCATAAATAGTGCAAAGATCGACGTATCGCATAGACAGAGATATGTATTAGAATACAGAAGAATACATATGTTAAAAAAAAAAACAAGATTTAATATTTATTATTGATGTTTTGCCATAATCGAGACTGGCGCAAACCATACTGGTCAATGACTCCCTCCTTCGCGAAAGCAAATAATCTTTTTTTGTGTCATTAATTTTACAAAAACTAAATTACACGTGAAGTGAGCGTTGTTTTCTTTATTCAAAGCGCGTTTAGTCTTTTTTCATTCGCTTCATTTAGGGGTGCGTTGTGAATAGGTTCTGATTTCTGACTATAGGGGCGTGCACATAGCTATACGCCGCATACCACTGATCTCTACTCTATATTCTATGTATATGCTGTATAGATACTATAGACTTTATAGTGTAGAGATAAGTAGCATAAGCCTGGTCTCAATAAAGTGCATCAGTGAATTTTGATCACATGATAACTTTTGTTTACATATGTAACTTCGTATTCCATGGAACGTACTATACTATATTTAAATATATAGATAAACTTCGACTTCTAATTGATAAAATGAGATTGGATACGTAAACTGATTAGCAATGATTGTAGTTCATTTAGGTAATATGAACAAGGTTTATTGAGGCCATGCATCACACATATATATATATATATATATCTACATACATTCATTATATATATATATATATATATCATTCAGCGAAAAACTTGGTAAACAAAACCACGTGATTTGCAACAGGACCGAAACGACAGAATGTTGTGCCCCGATGTGATACATATTTAATAAAAAATATAAGTTACTATACTTTTAGTATATACGTATGTATAATTACAGTTTTGTGGTAAAGGATAAAAGAAAATACATAAAGATATCAAATAAAGTAATAAAAATAAAAATATATTTATCAACGTATTATACGTTGAACCTACGTATATACATATACTTCCTTTTATCGCAAATCACGTAATTTCGTTTACAGAAGTGTCTTTTCGCTGTAAATTAGTATCTATTGGTATATTTCAATAATTATTGAAAATATCCTTTCCATTATGATGTAGAAAGCCCTTGTCGTTTGATCAAAAACGCCCAACAGATATTAATCAGTTCTAAAATATCAGGTGTCGTAACCCCGAATGGCTTTTTCCAACTATAAAACACATTTAGAATTTTTAGTTCATAATGTAATACCGACGACAGAAAATAACTCACGATCTATCGATGTTTATAAAACATCACATTCTATTACGATTACTAGGGACCTGTTACGAAATCTGTTTAATAGAAAGTCAAGTCAGGTTGAGACACACCTAATGAATCTTCAATACCGATTGCTTAAAAAAAAGTTAAGTTTGTAGGAAACAGTATTTAACATTTGTTAATTATTCTTGAATTGAGAAGCACCCTCTTTTTATGTGCATCACGGGATTACTGTTAATTCTATTCAATATTGGTATAAATACTGCAATTTCTTGTACGAGGGGGTTTTTTAATAGTTTATCGTATTGATATTCACAAGTTTCTATCATTAGTGAAAATGTAACTGCATATACAGATTTGAGTCATACTCTCCCCACTTTCAGATAGTACGATAGCATGTCTTAGGTCTTACGAACAATGGAGAGGATGCATTCGACGTAATACGCATGCGCAGTTTATGAATGCGAGATTATAAATAAAGCATTAGACGACTACCGTGTGAAGTTGTCACGGTGCACTTGTCGCATGATGGCGCAACATGTTGACCGCTCAGGCACACCGGCAGCTCTTTTATTACTTGTTTTTACGATATTCAATTTAGTATACGCTAATGCATTTACAGGAGTGAAAGTATTTAATAATCCGAGAGTGAAATCAGTGAATGTCCTAAGTATAAATCAATCCCACACGCGAGATCACCTGCCCGTTAATTCAGGTTTCTTGATTGAAATTCTTGGCACCGGCCTCGAGCGCAACGTTTTTCTACGCTGGTCACCTACATCCGACAATTGCAATTCAAACAACAAATTGAACGCGATCTGGATTGCGCCGAACGGCAGTCGTGCGATATATGAATTTGTCCAAGTTCCCAATTTTAAGGTTACCACAATCTATTTCTGTCTAAGAATCGTCACCAGATTCGGCGAAACATGGACCAATCTTGGACGCAACTTTACTATCAATCCTCCGTTGCAATCGGAGTAAGTTTTAAATGCTCAATAATGCACCTTTTGCTTAACAGCACCGAACAAAATTCCCTTTACTAATAATAGTTAACCATCTTATGACATGGCATAATTTTTTTTTTTAAAAAGGATAAAAATACCAATATTACTGACAACAAGGAGCTTATTTTATAATATTACAGTTATGCGCATCAAAGTTGTATTATTTCCACGATACGGTGTATTATCAATGAAGAATTCTCTTTATTCGATTAATTTTGTTTATATGCTTAAATGTTAATAATTCAGATATTTTCAGTTAATAGATGGTTTATATACATAAAAAAGATATTTCGACATAACTTTAATTTTATAAAAGCGAAATACATTATTCTGTTATATTTTTAATTTTAATTTGTGGAATGGTGCTGACCTTGACCTAGATATCTATATCTATCTCTATGAATGCAGACAATTAGGAAAATCTATTATAAACACTAGGTTAATAAATTTTTTAAATTAACGAAGATAAAGTACGTCGCGTATAAATTACTGTGAATTTTTTTTTCTAAAATGATAATGCGTTCATTAATTTGGTTATTTAAAAAAACTGGAAAAATTCTCCGACTTCGGTTATTGATTTTATTTTATTTTCGGGTTTAATTAGTAACTTATCCATTTTCTATATTACTCGTGTATTTTATTCTCAGAAAATATTTTCGTACGCGCCGTGCTGACCCACCACCCATTGTCAATGATGATCATAAAAAGTTAATAGCCGAACATCCCTTTAAAGAAGCATTTATCGAAGGCTTGAGAATAGAAACAGCAGCCAAGGATCCCAGTTATAGCAGCGATGGAATTCCCGAGATATTGGCTGGAAGTAAAGTAGTTATAAGATTATTTGGCTTTGGTATCACAGAAGATACTTTGGTCACTTTCACGGACGAACCAGCAGAGAGGGGTTCTATTTGCGATAAAATTAAAAGCAATGAGTTTCTAGTGAGCATTCAATCGTGTTGTTTCTTAATTTCCTGCTTGAGAAGACACGCGCATAAATACTATTTTAAAAATGTGTAGGTAAAGAATGTAAAGAATCATACTGCCACTATTGATGTGATATTGCCGCTTGGGTCCCCGTTTTATGTGTGTGTAAAACAACCGATATATGGGAAAGAAGGTTCAGATCTTCTGCTGTTTAAACATCAAGGTACTGAAACATGGAATACAGTAAGTATTATTTTTCAATTGGAAACCAATTAAATAGCGTTAAAAATCATTTCGTTAAATATGTCTGTTAATAACAATTGTTTACAGATTTATACGTATGAGAAATTTTTGCCACTTTGGCTTGGTATTGTAATTATTCTCATGTGTCTTAGTTTTTCTGCTCTGTTCTCTGGTCTGAACCTGGGATTAATGGCGATGGACAGAACGGAACTGAAAATACTCTGTAATACTGGAACGGAAAAGGTAGTTTTGTTTATGTCGAATAGATTTAATTTTATAATTATAATTGTGTACTAATTTCATAATTCTTTGATCATTGGCACATTGAAGGAAAAACAGTATGCAAGGACGATACAACCAGTGAGGAATCATGGAAATTATCTGCTGTGCTCGATTTTGTTCTCAAACGTTTTGGTGAATTCGATCTTCACTATTTTATTAGATGACTTGACTTCGGGATTAGTTGCTGTTATCTGCTCCACCTTGGCGATTGTAATTTTTGGTGAAATTTCACCGCAGGTACGTATATTTATAAAGATTTATTAAATCGAAATATATTATATAGATGTAATACTTTTCAGGCTATTTGCAGTAGGCATGGATTGTGCATTGGAGCTAAAACGATTTACGTAACAAAATTGACCATGATATTAACATTTCCATTGAGCTATCCTATCAGCAAACTTTTAGACGTTTTACTTGGCGAAGAGATCGGCAACGTGTATAATCGCGAACGTTTGAAGGAACTTGTAAGGGTGAGTAAAACACTCTATCAGTATATTTCATCACTTTCACGATATGTATTTAATATAGTGTTTTTGATTGTAATTTGAAGTGTACATTATCAAACATCTTTCCAAACTTTTACTGTCATGTATCTTATCGGAATGAGCGCGGATAGAGGCAGATAATTATACCGACATCTAAATTCAATCATATGTAGGCAAGATACTGATCTACTGACGTTTGCTTGAAGTTTTCGCAATAAACTTTTCTATAGAGTACATGTTAGATTACTTATCAATGTGAAACTTAAATAAGATAACTTTTCATACTCGTACTGTACTAATTTAAGATGAACTTATCGTTAAAATGTACTTCTGTATGATACAAGTGTATGTACAGCGGACGGCATGAACTTGTCGTGACGTCATAGGTGCACGAGCGCCGTCGACGAAAAAGCGATCCTCGTTCAAACGCCGCGTGTGCGCAGGTATATGCGCAAAAGATTATCGAGCGTTGATTGTTATTACTACTCGGTCAACAAAGTGTTGGATCACAGGGGTGGCGCGTGCATCGTTAAGTGGTTTGTTAAAAACCGGTACAAGATCTTACTTTACGCTACATTCATCGTACGTTAATAAGAGAAATGCATTACAGAATGCAAGTTCTATCTGATGCACAGGTGGAATTTGAACGAGGATCGCTTTTGTGCCATTCGATGTACACGCATATGTATGAACACGAGTAAACAGAAAAATAAATTGTCAATGTTGCTTATAGGTAACAACAGGGTACAATGATTTAGAAAAAGACGAAGTGAACATTATTGCCGGGGCGTTAGAATTACGAAAAAAAACTGTGGCAGATGTAATGACGAAAATTGAAGACGTATACATGTTGGATTACAATGCTATTTTAGATTTTGAAACAGTGTCGGAGATCATGAAATCAGGTACAATACTTTTTATTGTTTGTATACGTATTTACTAAAACGATTGTTTTCGAAACAATTATATTTATATAAATAAATTTTCATAGTGTTTATTATTGTTAATTTTCAGGTTTCTCGCGAATACCAGTATTCGAAGGGGCAAGAACAAACATAGTAACAATGCTTTATATTAAAGATCTTGCGTTTGTTGATCCGGATGATAACATGCCATTGAAAACTTTATGTCAATTTTATAAAAACCAATGCAATTTTATTTTCGAAGATGTTACATTAGACATAATGTTTAAACAGTTTAAAGAAGGTAAATGTTTTTTTTTTAAATAAATGTTATTCGTGTAATATAAGCGTCTTAGTAGTAGACATATAATAAACATACACGCTTATTTTAGGTCATAAAGGTCACATGGCATTTGTTCAAAGAGTAAATAACGAAGGCGAAGGTGATCCATTTTATGAAGTAATAGGATTGGTCACATTGGAAGATGTTATAGAAGAATTGATTCAAGCCGAGATCATGGATGAAACGGATGTTTTCAGTAAGGTTCATCAACAGTTTGAAATAGATATCTTTTACGAATGAAATTTCTACTAAATGTGATTTCCCACAGCGGATAACAAAACTAAACGTAGGAGACAAGCTAAGCATAAAATACAAGATTTTACTGTGTTCGCGGAGAAGAAAGAAAACCAACGTATTCATATATCACCGCAGTTGACATTGGCCATGTTTCAGTATTTGTCTACAAGTAGGAAGAAGTGTTTTGATTTAAGAAAATATGAGATTTATATAAAAATCTATTGTAATACTCTTAAAACACATCTGAGTGTAATGTATAATCCACAGCTGTAGATGCATTTAAGTCCGATACAATATCGGAAACTATTTTACGTCGTTTGCTTAAACAAGATATTATTTATCATATCAAAGTCAAATCGCGTGAAAAGGCGAGAAACGATCCGGTGGCCGTGATCTATCAACAAGGAAAAGCAGTCGATTATTTTGTTTTGATCTTGGAAGGTCGAGTAGAAGTTACAGTCGGCAAAGAGAATATGATGTTTGAAAGCGGCCCGTTTACATATTTCGGTTCCCAAGCGCTTACCGTTAATATAGGAGTTGGTAAGATTCATAACAAATTTTATCCGTTTGATAAAATCTTTACCCGAGTTTCTTGTACATCGTTCTTTTCAGTGGAATCGCCCACTAACACGAATCCTCAAGCAGTGGGGAGCATACAATCGATCAACCTGGATTCTATGTTGCGTTGCACATTTGTTCCAGACTACACGGTCCGTGCAGTAACGGAAGTGTTTTACGTTAAAATCAAAAGATCTCTGTACTTGGCTGCGAAACGAGCTACGCTCCTTGAGAAAAGCCAAAAGGATCCGTTACCCGGTCACGAACAATTCGACGACGAAGTAGAAAAGGTTAATTGTTATGTGAAATTATAAAATTGCAATCTATGAGAATGTTATCGAATTTGTTGCACAAACCTTTTTGTAATTGTTCGTTTTTAGTTACTGCACTCTTTGGACGAGGATGATCGCAGTGTGCCAGAATCTCCGGTGTTACCGATCGATAAGGAAAAAGAGATTAAAAAGGAAAAGGACAGTATTCAATCTCCCGTTCATAGCGCAACTGCTCCGACCTCGCCTGCTCCAGTCAGTGCTAGCCCCGTCACGCATTCGAAGTTCATTTCATCGTATAGCGACCATAACGGCAAACTAAAGAATTCTCCGGTAAAGGTATATAGTTTCATTATTTTTTTACTTTTATCGAAAGTGTAATAGCAGCGAACAATAATTTTATACATATATTTCAGACATCTTCGATAACGAGTCCCACCGATGGGCAAAATAAATTAGATTTGGATACGGAAATTCTTGTCCGTCAAGAAGCAAACAGAGTGATGTCGGTAAAGAAATTAATCGAGGACGAAGAAAGGACGAATCTCCTGCCTAAGCAAGAGGATTCTTAACGTTCGGAGAATAGTCGGCGATGATTAACCATGTCGACGCTATTGGACTTGCAGGTATCAAACAACGAAGAGCAGGAAAAACCTCTATGACATACAATGCTATCATGGCATTATGTACTTAACAAATTACTTAAATATTTATCGCGAAAGAAATCGATAGCCGGTCAATGCGAGTTTTAAGTTTTAAATAGATGGCTCAGAGACTGTCCGCGACATCCTAGTTCTATGAAGTTAGTACGCTCAGGGAAGATTGCCAAATTTACAGACGTTCTCTTATGCATTCAACTCTTCTCATAGTCTACATAAGTACCGTAATACGTAACCAAAACTCAACACATACTTTCACTCAACGAATGTCTTATTTCTGTTTAAGCGCCGCTTTACGAAGCATAATTGTTTTTTTTTTTTTTTTTTCATAGGGAGCGGAGACGCTCATTGAAAGTTGTATATTTTCACTGTCATAGAAAAGTTCATCTTCTATTATTGACCGTAAAATGCACACATATTTTTAACAGTATCTAATTAACACCTGTAAATATCATTTAGTCATGCATGTTTTTTTTTTTTTTTTAAAAAAGCGAATCTTCTGAAACGTGCATTACATTTATAGCAATGAAATACACATCTACATGACATTTTATAACGATCGTGTACCAATGTTATTCGTGTTCTTATGTTCTTTGAAGAACGAAGCAGATTTCGAAAGGATTTAAAAAAGATGGATATCGTCGAGGCGTTGTAATTTTATTTACTGTCGTAGGAACAAAGAACGTATCTGATCGAACGCACGTTGGATGTGTAATAGAAGGAAGGACAAATCGAGAGGAACGGTTTTTTTTTAAAGAAAGTTCAAACGCATTATTTAATCGAGTTTATAAATACGTAGAGGAGACGACGTAGAGGGGGTTTTAAGATATTTGTTTTTTCTTCGGTAATCTCGTTTTCCTTGTGTCGTATTTCTGACACATGTGTGAATAGTGTGAATAGAAATAACGAAATAAATCCCTCATCTTTGTAATCAATAAGACCCTCGGTATATAACTACGGTAGTCCGTTATATTTTTATTCAGTGCCTTAACAAATTATAAAGCTATGTTTAATCGTCTGTAATGAAATGCACTTTAATAGAAAATTAATATAATTTCAATATTAAATTAAAAATAATACGTTCTTTTCGATCGACTCGCCGTTGTTACGATATTGCCGATTAAAATATTTTTTAAATTAAACAGACATTCGTTTGTCATACGCTTTCATACGATATATCATATTTATTACATACGTAGAAGATATACTCGTGTGACGTAAGAATTTAGTCACGTATTTTGAGATGTAACGAAGTGTGCTTTTATTTCTGTTACTTGCTGTCGAAAACAAAAACTAAATTTGCCGATGTAAACTGACGGTCAACGTTTTGTACATATCCTGAGTTTGAAATAGTTGAAGTGCCATTCTTCCGCGAGAAGAAGGCGCCAACGTGTTTACATTCCCACTCCTGTTCCAGTCAGCTGACTCGCAGGCATTGGTCGAGAACAGCCGACGATGATCGGTGACAGCCAATCAGCGGACTGCAGCAAGAGTGGGGATGTAAACACGCTGTGCCTTCTTGCTCGCGGAAGGGCGATAAGAACGAATAGAAATCTCCCTGAATTTGTAATTGTCCCTAATAAAGAGATAATAATTATCTAATAAGATGTTAAATCTGCGAAGTAACGAAATAAGACAAAAAAAAAGAACGTATCGTCGGATTTTTTACGGAAATAATAATCGACTAGCGTACTTAACGTAAGATATATAGAACAAGTTCAACATATAGGATCATTAGAATAGCGGCAAGATCTACAGTTTCTCATTTCAATCATCGCGACCTATCGTTATTTTCACGTAAAATTTAATAGTTAGACTGTTACTGCCATATTTTTTATACTTACCGATTGTTGTTTCGATGTTTGTTTTTAAAAAAAAAAAGAAAAAAATTTCAGAGTAACAAATCGAAAATTCAAAACTGATAACTACCGTCTGCACGAGTATCAGTTGTTCGAAAATCTTGAACGAATATTCAATTTTAAACTGTCGAATTCTACGTATGCATGCTCATATTTCGCGAAAGAGTATATCAATATTAGATTAGCGTAAACTGTAAAAAATCGTTCAGATTTTATTTTTTATATACATATATGTCTATATTTATTGTTTGAACGATTTTAAGTAAACATATATGTTTGCATGTGTTTTGTAGCTTTGTGGAATGTTTTCGTAAATATGAATTAACGCGCGATATAGCTTTAAAATATATTCGTTTTAACATATTGTGTTTACGGTATTCTATATATTGCAAAAAAAAAAAAAATGAACGATCAATGTCAGTATATTTAAATGACATATAATTTCGGATTGCGATACGTACACACGCGGTACAATAGATACATATTATCTATTCTGTAGCATTTATTATTTTTATGCAATTTACTTTATTTTTATTGTTGATTATTTTTTCGTTGTTAATTTACAATAAAAGTTACACGCAACATTTTTGTAGTTCACTTAGTTATTAGATTATTGGTTTAAAACAATCCATCTGTCGCACATGTTGAAATTCATTAATTCTTATAATTTCTCATAGAAACTATAGATGTTATTAACATTTATGTCGATATACTTGTATTCATACAAATCTTAAGTCACCTTTGCGATCGATGTCTTAACTTACAGACGAAATTGTAACAAGAACAAAATTCATATTGTGTTACATTTGCAATGTGATATTTAGTTAACTAATATGTAAGGGCGTGCCGACAAACGAAAGTAGTGCTACATACTGCTTACACCAATACAATTTTTTGCACTGTCAGTTAAATTTCATCAAAACTGTTATCCAAGAGATTATTCGTAATAATTTTTCATATCATTTCCTGACACACGAAAAGGCGAATAAAGGATACGAACGAAGGCATGCATACCAAAAGATTAGCACGTTCAGTGTTGGTGTACAGCAGCGAAAATACCGCACATACTTTCAACAAAATTATACATTCTGTATTATCGTTACTATAGAATCGATGTGTGTCGATAAAAAAAAAAACTGTACATTCGAGAAAAATAGAGTCAAGTACATATACTATATCAACGTATTACTGTATACAAAAAATAAAAGTATAATTTCGTTTTCAATGCGCTAGTTTCTCTTTACTGACCTCGGTCAGACGAACGAGAGGAAATTTTTCGATCGTTGAACGATAAAATCTAATTCTAATCCGGCACCCACCCTATCTAATATTTTTTCGCCCATTCCATAAATACTTTATTATGGTAATACATTATTATGGTAATTATCGATGCGTAAAAAAAATATTTAATATTTTCATGTCGTTTAACATTTATTGTAGTATCGGTTAACGATAAGGTTAACAGTCAATATTATACTGTTATATTTTGAAAAAGGAAACAACGAAGCGCAAACTTGTAAACATTTATGCGAAGTGTATGGCGAGAATATCGTCAAAGGAAGTATGTACCGGAAACGGTCTTTTAATCGGAGGTGGGAATAGATTATAAATTAAACCGGAAAATACATTGTTATATTATGCATGTCGAAAAGGGTAAAAACTTATTAATCAACTTAATACGTAGGAAACTGTGAGAAAATTTTCAAACCTGCGCAGAACAATGCGCGCCATGCGCCGACTAGAAAACTGCTCCCGATGGATGACGGTTACTCGATGCTGGCAGTTAGCGGGTAGCGTCTGCAGGCGTCGGACGCGTTATTCGTAAGTCCGGGAAAACAGTACTTTTGCACGTTGTTATAAAACAATTTTACGAAAATGTTGATACTATTTTCATTCCCTTTTTGTTTTCAGTGCATCAAAACTGTTTAAGGACCTCTGTCTTTATTCGAGACTAAAATTTTCTCAGGTTTATTATTTATAATTGTTTTTGCGTTTGAATACTGGATTTACGCACCGTTTCAAAGGTACGTGCATTTTATACACCTTTTCGAACGTACTTCGCGTAAGTAATTGTACAATTCTTTTGTATAATGGTATAAGATTCGCTTGTATTTTACAAAGGTGTATCGAAAAACAGCATTGAAATTACTGGAACCAGATTAATTTATGTAACGAACGATGACACGTTAAACGGTTTTTATAAGCGTTTAAAGTGAAATTTCCATGTAAATCGTAGATCGCGTTGCGAAGTGAATCGTATTAAGTAAAATGCATAATAGAACGTAGGTAGAAACGAAGAGAAATGCAATGGCCAAGATTCCTTTTTATCGATAATAGATAAAAGAAAACGATTTATGGCGGTGGTTACGGGGAATTAAAACTCGACTATTTTTTATTTGAAGGATCCGAGTCGGGATGGCGATAACGTCGGGCAAACGAACCCAACAACTAGATTCGGTCGTGCAACAGAACTTGTTAACAACAATTTATCGAAGTCGGCTCACCGTTTTCAGGATCGTTACCCGTTCCAACACTCGACGCGACAAAAAAATAATTGTACTTACTCTGGTCATGGACAAAAGTTCTTTGAGAATGAGACGAGAACTTGCGGCGCGGTAATTGCATGAAATGAACGAGAATTTCTGTCTTTGTAGGGTAAAAGCCGCTCCCTCCGGTCATTAGGATATTTCAGTTCCTTCCCTGATGCGAAATTCAACCTCGATCTCCACTTTTTTTTTTCTACAAACAACACCGATGTTCCACCAGTTTTATAAATAACCGAGCATATAAAAAAAAAGAGATGTCTAGTCTCCTCTATCGTATATTTGTCCATTTCCTTATTGCCATTACTATTATTTTTATCGACCGTTTTGCTTCGCCAATCTCCCTACGGGTAAACACAGCTTCGATAATACGTTCTTGATCGACGATGGAAATTCAAAATATCGATTCTCGATTGGAATAAATAATCGACGTGATCGAAGAGAAAGAGGGATCTCGATCGAGTGACCTCATGGTTCGTAAATCTCTTCGAGCAAATTCACGCGCGTAAACGTCGCGAAGGAGACGAGAATTCGTGAAGGAATACGACACCCGTGGTTCCGCGTGAACTCGTCCCGAACGGACCGCCATCGCCGCGCCGCGGCGTCTCAAAGAAGAGAACGCTTTCATCGCTTTTTTTAAATCTAACGAACGTGCTAATCTTCTTCGAGCTGTAAACTCTCGTAAATGTTTTCCCGGCTCTGTCTCGAATTACTGTTCCGTTTATCGGCCCGTTAAAAATAGGAGGCAAGACAATGAAATCGTTTACACGCGAACCGCGAATCGATTCGGCTTGAAAGGCCCGTGGTATATGTACGCTTGGCGTTTCGTAGTGTTTCGCGTAAAATCGAGAACGTTTCAAGGAGGGGGGGGGACATTTTAGAGAAACTATTTTGAAAAGCTCAGCTCGGTTCTTGATTCGATACGACCGATCGAGAGAGCCACGGATGAAGATGGCTCCGCGGTAGGCAATATCCGTTGCGTGTGGCCAAGGTTGACTGAACAAAAGAGAGAGATTCGAACGTGGATGATAAAAAGGCTACCCTTATCTCATTTCGCATCGTTCGTCTCTATCGAGGAATCTCGGCTACGCTAATTGGCACTCGAAATCGATCTACGTACTTGGTCCCCCCAAAAAATATATTAGGCTGGTGCACACCGAATATCGTCGTTCCAGTGGTTCTCAGTGTTTCGTTTCATCCACGACATTCGAAATGCGCCTACAAATCGGAATAGAATATTTAAAACATTCACATGAAATTTCGGGGCAACATTTCTAACCTCACATTATATTTTCGAAGAATTTTTTTCTCGAAAGTGGGTAGGATCCCGGGGGTATGTCTATTCACCAAAAATGATTGTAATTGACCCCCGCAATCGAAAATAATTTTTCCAGAACGATTTGAAATTTTCTTTTCCGTCGAAAAATTTCACACCTTCTCGAATTTTTTTCTCGAAAATGGATAGGATTTCGAAGGTATGTCTATTAACCAAAAATGCTTGTAATTGACCCGCGCAACTAAAAATAATTTTTTTAGAACGATTTAAAATGTCTTAATTTTGTCAAAAAATTTATCTGATTACTGAATTTTTTTCTCGAAACTGGTTAGGAATTCGATGGTATGTCTATTAACCAGAAATGATTGTAATTGACCCCCGCAACCGAATATAATTTTTCCAAAATGATTTGGAATTTTTTAATTTTGTTGTAGAATTTGGTCACCTACTCGAATTTTTTCTGGAAAGTGAGTAGGATTTCGGGGATATGTATATTGACCAAAAGTGATTGCAATTGACCCCCGTAACTGAAAATAATTTTTTTTGAACGATTCGAAAATTTTTAGTTTTGTCGAAAAATTTCGCACCTCGAATTTTTTTCTCGAAAGTGGGTAGGATTTTGGGGGTATTTGTATTCATAAAAAATGATTGTAATTGACCCTCACAGCCAAAAATAATGTTTCAGAATGATTTGAAATTTTTTAAATAATTTTTTTAACGAAGCCAAATTTTAATTTCAGTCAAGTTTTCGTCTTATTTTGGCCTTTAGAATCTCCCATTAAAATTTTTCCCAGGGATGGTCGAACACCCGTTATACACACACACGTTTAAGACATTTCTACCGTTCTAAAATAATTGTAAACCCTCGACATGCTCTAAACTTTTATCGTGGAACGCTATTCATCGTCCCAGCACAATACTTTCGAACATGGTTCATGATAGACACCTGTTACTCCCAACAGTGTATCGCGAGTACAATTTAACGCGATACAGATATCAATAAAGCATTGCGATCGATCGTAACTGACACTAATAGACCGCAAGTTGGTTGTCCAGAAGTTAAATTGCATTAAACGATTCGTCTGTTACAGACTCGATAAGTCCTATCAACCGGATACAGCGGGCGACTAAGCGCCAATATAAAAGCACTGCTAAAATGCCGAGCGTCGTTCGAAGAACGGTCTCGCGGAACAAGAAGCAGTAAAACGGAATCCAATTAAGTAACGAATAGACTCGCGACACACAGCGTTTAATTTCTTCGAAACGATGACGACGAGGTTTAAAAACAAGAAGACGTCGGGATCAAAAATGAATTCATCGAGAAAGCGTGGCGCAACGATTTAAACGATGAGCCCCCGGTAGCTTGTCCTTGGCGCGATAGCGGAACGTCGATGATTTAAACAATGAACTCGTCGTATCTATGGGGCGAAGACGAAGAATGGGGAGCACGATATTACTTCACTTACTACAGTCAATTTGGGAATCGTCAAGGAGCCAGCGCCGTCGAGGTGAGTTTATCGCTATGCAATTCGTTTGTTTCTGTAACATTGTTGTTTCGTCGCGTTGCCGCATAACCGTCGCCACGCGCGAACCTATTAATTAGCCAGCGGCATCGCTCGAAAACTTGTGTCTCATTAGAGATGCGAACAATGCTGCAAATGCGTCCTAGTTTTTGCTTCGTCAGACACGGTTTTTACGACGGCGCGAAACGCGGGGAATAATTACGATCGGCCGTGTTCATCGGAAGTTTTGTTGATGTACGATTCTGCGAATACTCTTAGGTTAGGGTCACACCAGCGTCGAAACGACGCGCGTTTCTATGTTCATCCTTGTCCTTGCGATTTAAGACAGAGAAAACCGGCGTTCCTGTGTCCGCTTTGGTTGTTTTCAATTGCAAGGACAAGATGTCGTTTCAACGCTCGTGTGCCCCCCTCCGCCTTAATGTCGCTGCTGTCGTTCGATTGTCAGTCGGCGGGACGTATTGTTGCAAGCGGCGTGCTGACTTTAGCGGACTACCGACACCTTTGTAATTATGCCGCATTCCGGAGAAGGTGTCGATGTTTTACTTGAGAGGACACGAGACAAGGGGCACGAGCCCCAGACTCGATCTAGACACCGGAACCAGTAACATCGAAATACATTTTATAATCGTTAATCTATGGCTTTCGTTTATTTTGTTCCTTCCCCCGAATCTACGGGTCGTCCTCTATGGAAACAAGTCTCGTGCCCACAGGTGGTGATATTGGCCATTAGCTTCGTTCTAGCGGTTGGTGCCAATTTGGGAATTGCCGGCTGTATACTTAGGTACAAGGAAATGAGAACGCCCACGAACCTGTGCCTGGTGAATTTGGCTGTCGCCGATCTGTTATTTACCGTCGGCGTCCCAGCAATCGCGTACACCAGATTAACGCAGTCTTGGCAACTCGGTGAAACGATCTGCAGATTGCTACCTTATTCACAGGTAAAATTCTACTATAGATCTGTAGATTTTATTTTCTAACCCTTTCTGGACTCGTACAATATAGAGAAAAAAACATTACACGCTTCTTGATCATTAATTTACTGTGTTAATTGATGAAAACCATTGATATTAGACTCTTATCAAAATATGATCGTTTTAATTAGACGAGAACAAAACATCGCGTGTACACGATAATAGGAGCAAGTTGTTGTCATTCGATAAACCTTCCTCCTTCACGGATCAAGGCCGTAATCACGCACGAAGGGCAGGACCTATAAATACGATGCTCCTTTTAATGCGTTCTACGCTCGATTCCTCCTTACGAGAAACAACATACGAATTTAATATGAGCTTACACTTTCCAGCCGTGTACATGCACGTCGAGATAAAAAGATCGAACAAATGCTTCTACTAAATACATTGATTTGAAGGAAAAACTTGTTTACAGATTCGTTTGTTATCTACTTTAGTTTATTACATAACAGAAGCAATAATATATATACATTGATTCACAAAACAATAACAAAAATGTATTTATTGAAGATTTTTAGTAGTAGTCATAATTTTGTTTAGTAGTTAGAAGCATTTGTACTACCATAACCATGCTGTGCCAATAATTATGTCCAGCATTGTAGCGCCCTTCCACGAGAATGAAGGCACACCGTGCTTACATCCCCACTCCTGTTGCATTGTGACAGCCAATCAGCGGACTGCAGCAAGAGTGGGGATATGAACACGCTGTGTCTTCTTCTCGTGGAAGAATGGTGCATATTTCTCTGTCAGCGAAGAAGAGACCAATTTGGAGAGTTTTACAGTAAACTAAACGATCGAATATTGCACCTGAATAACCTGCTGGCTTTCTCATTCCTTATAGTTTGTCTGCGGCTTCGTGCTCCTATGGACATTGACGTTTATATCGATGGACAGACATCGATGCTTAGCGATAGCTCCTTATAGAAGTGCCTTAACGAGGCCCAGAGTTTTAGCGGCTAGTCTCATCACGTGGATCATCGCAGCTTTCGTTTTTCTACCGGTCGTATTTTGGTTTAGACCGAAGGTATAAATATTTCTCCATCTTTACCAACAATTTTAATCGACAGCCGTGCAATTAAAACTAATAAATTACTGTCTAACGTTCGTTAAAATGCGCAGGATATCACGAACGAGTTGACGATCTGCACTTTGGTCTTTCCACGAAACAAGATCGTCAACGTCTCGTTATGCTTCACATTACCGATCATCGTTCTTGCCTGTCTTTTACCTATGGCACTTCTGGTCTATCATTATCAGCGGATCTTCAAAAAAATTCTCGACTCCCGGAGCCGATGGGCCGTTCCATGCGTCACGCAAGTAATTCATTTACAATAAATACCATTTTCTAAATACAGGGTGTTCGGCCAAAAAACATTACTGGAAGATTCTATGAGCCAAAATAAGACGAAAATCAAGAATACCAATTTGTTGATTGAGGCTTCGTTAAAAAGTTATTAACGTTTCAAGTTCCGCCTGTGAGACGGGAACCGTGCACGCTGCACACTTTAACTTTAAACGTTAATAACTTTTTAACGAAGCCTCAATCAACAAATTGGTATTCTTGATTTTCGTCTTATTTTGGTCTCTAGAATCTCCCATTAAAATTTTTTCCCAGGAGTGGCCGAACACCTTGTACGTGTACATACGTTAATTCCTCCTTTCAAGACCTAATCTTTTTCTTCTTTTACGCTTACTGTCAACACTCATTTTTACTGGAAAAATCTCACCGATCCATCGATGATAATTTTATATTGCATGCGATGGTAATACAGTTCGTGATCGAATTCTATCGATCCTGGATTTAGGGCAGCCGTCGAATCCGATTTTTCATATTTGAACGAGGAACTATTGTACTGTATTGTATCTTATAATTAAGCTTCTGTGTCACGGTCGTCTATTTCTAAATGGACGCGATAAATATACCCAGGGATTGGAGAGCGGCGCAACAGGTAGAAGAGACTCCGAGCTATCGGTGGTGGGAACTTTACTACCCTGGGCAGGAAGAAAGTTGTCCACTGCATCGGTGACGGGTCGACAGGGCCGAGCCGGTAGTCTTTCCCAACACGAGGAGATACGACTCCACAAGCATCTTCGAGTTGTACGAATTTTACTACTGAACGTGGTAGCCGTCCTCGTAATGTGGCTTCCGATCACCACGGTGATGCTATTGATTTACGTGGACGGTAGAAGGCCTAACGAGAACACGAATTTTTTCCTGATGTCCCACCATTTTGTCTGGACCTTGATCGTAGCGCAATTGAATACCGTGATCAATCCTCTGCTTTACGGTGTCTTTTCGGAAAACTTTCGTGCCTGTTTCGCGAAACTCTGGCGGCGCGACCTCGATGGTAACGCCAGAAACGCGGAACGCGGTGGGTCCAAGAAAAGCTCCAAGTCGTTAGAAGCTTTTCAGACTAGATTGGGTGGTAACAGAACGCCTAGCAGCTCGAGAAATCAACAAAAACAATCGAAGAAAAGGTCCAGTTGCAGTATAGGTAGCATCGTTGAAGTACCAAATTCGGAAAAGTTATGAGACACCGAAATATCGATCGACCGATGCATCCAAATTTTGTGACTATCGGACAAAGGGCTTGTACGAAATATTATTTATTAACCGTATGAAAATTTCAATGTTAAAAGGATCCACGCCAAATAAGAACGAAACATTAATTTTCTTTTTAAATTATTTTAATTTAAAACTGTATATTTAATTAGATAATAGAAAGTAATACAAAAAATAGTACAAAATTTTATAAACGTGTATTTAACAGGAATAAACTTTGTTTTTAAACAAATTTAACTACGCTTGTTTACGGAATATCGTTTCCATTAACACATTGACTGCCATATATGGGCGACAGAACTTTTAATAGTGGCATTAAAACAATTAATTCTCAAATTGAATCGCGAAAGAAAATAAATTTTAGCGAAGCCAGTTTTGGACTGGCAATCAACGTGTTAAAACGGGGATTCCTTCGTCGCAAGCGTCCAACGTAAATTTTATGCTTTGCTAATTAAATTGTCTTCTTACACTTTTTTTAATTTCAGATAATTTTTTCATATCGATGTTCCGTTCTTTTATCATACTTTCGATCATTTCAATTTTAGAATTTACAAAATCTGTCTTGGCTGATCTTGTTTTTCTCTTCGTATTTTTTTTAGGAGCTATATAATTCTTTATGAGACACCAGGGATATGCTTCCTCTTTAAAAGCAATTAAATCCATTGTAACTTGCAAGAAATTTACTGTGTCGCCTTCGGGTATGTACATATCAACTGTAGTCTCCTGCTCTACTACTTTTTTTATACAATATATATTTTGGCATTCTGATTTTAAATTAAGAACAATCCAACTATTCTTTGGTAGTACATCATCAAAATTTGCAGACAGGAATGATCTATTAGCTATCCTATGTATCAATAGTTTTGGACAAAATTGAACTCTATGCCCATGAGCATATAAACTTATTCTTCTTAATTTATCTTCTTCCGTTATTAATACTTGATTTAATCTATGTAGTTCTTGAGTTCCTTTATAAATCTTATCCATTATAAGATTAGTGCCTTTTAACATGTCAGAATGAAGGTTGATAAGAGTATCATTTTCAGTGGATAATGTTCTTTCCACTGTATCTATAGAAAACTCTATTAGTTGTTTATCCGTGGTCAACCCTACCATTGTTTTCGAATCGTAACATTGCAGGCAAATAAAGCTTTCACCTTGAATGCTCATTCGTTGAATGTTATCGACTAATAATCGTTTTTTTCCATAATATAATTTAGATTTGTCCGAATAAACAAGCAATAACGTATCTTTGGACAATTGGCTAAAATTAGCACAAACGGCTTGTAAGGTTATTCCCAAAAAAATTGTTTCAAAAGTAAGTTTATTATCTTTTGAATGCATAACAATAATATCCATACTAGTGATGAAAAGTAATCCAGCGACCTTAGAATTTGTTTGTACCGGTATAATATCCCTAATAGAATAAATACTACTATATATAATTTCTACAGTTTCATTTACTAACGTTAGAACTCTTTTTCCAATTGCAATTATGCATAAATTTTTTACAGTAGAATCCTTATTTGTTATGGTACTTATAAACTGTTCTGTAGTATTTTTTGTATCCATGGGATAAACGCAGCATAAGTTGATCGAATCGCTTTCCTCTGAAGAAATTTGAAGCAATACTTTACTTGTCATTTTTTGTTTATTATCTAAATAGAGATACTCATTCCTTGGTTTCAATACTTCGTAAAAGACAGTACCTACTCCAATTGCATTCTTACTTAAAATTGCGAATTCCCGGTCTTTCGAAACTTTATATATTCCTCGTGGGGAACAAATTAGAAAAGCTCTACCTTCGAAACACTGTATGTTTTTTATCGATGCCGGAGCTGTCAAAACGTCAAGATGAACGAAATCATTGTTCGCGTATGGAAATATTACAAGCTTGTTCTCGTTCCAACAGAAACAAGTCTTTTCGCCGTAAAATGTATTGAGAATGAAAGCTTTTGGCACGAAGTAATCATTTGTTGTAATATGCATTATTGTTCGTTTGTGATGTTTACCATAATTACTATGACAAAGTCACGGATGACATACGAGCGTCAGGTAGGCAAACGTTAACTGGAAACATTTGTAACATTCTTCCACGAGAAGGCACAACGTGCTTGCTGCAGTCCGCTGATTGGCTGTCACCGATCTTCGTCACCGTTCTCGACCAATGCCTGTGAGTCAGCGGACTGCAACAGGAGTGGGGATGTAAACACGTTGTGCCTTCGCCTCCTGGAAGGACGATACACTATACGAGAAAGAAATCGAGAAAGAGGGCTGCCGCATGCGTCAGTTTGCCTCTATTGACTTTCCGAAACTCTACAAGTTCACGTATGTACGCGTGATCTGGTATAGTGTAAGAGAGTGCCTTCGGTGCACTTCTGACATCTATATTAAGTATTCGCGTGTGTTCAATAGATTATGGGGGACTCAATGGTGCATAAATATAATGATCCTAATCTTAGAAGTTATACCGAAATATTACAAGAGAAGCACGATGACGAAAATAAACAATCCGAATCATCGCTCCTTCAGGCATGTTCTTTTTTATGTCAATAAATACAACCGGTCTGTCTATCTTCCATCTTTTCATCAACATATATGTGTTTACGATTCGATTGCAGACTAGCATAGAAAATAGTGCACTTAAGTTATACAAGTTAAATGAACCCAAAACACATGAACCCACTTTGATGGAAGAAAAACACATAGAACTGTTAAAAGAGTCTATACATCATCTTGATAAAGATTACGAGGCAAGTGCCATTATTTATCATTTTTTAATATAAAATTTATAATTTTATTCTCCTGTGTAATATTTTCAGAAATCCGACTGTAGCAGAACATGGTTATGTTACTGGATTTTACATTCCCTCAATATATTAGATGACCGTTTAGACAACAATGTAAACTTACAAATTGTTGGTTTTTTGGCCAAATGTCAATCACCGAAAGGAGGATTCGGAGGTGGTCCAGGACTACTTCCTCATTTAGGTTCTACTTATACAGCAGTGAATGCATTATGTAGCATTGGTAGTCTTGAAGCATATCAAGTAATTAACAGGTACATACAAATTAAATAAGTAGAATGCCAGACAATCATCTACACTAAAGCTTCATATATATCCTTGAAAAAATTATATGTACATTGATTCCAGGGTAACACTTAAACAGTTTTTATTATCTCAACGACAAGAGGATGGTTCTTTTAGTATGCATGAAGATGGCGAAGTAGACATGAGAGGAGTATATTGTGCACTCGCTGTAGCATCACTGACAAATATATACACTCGCGAATTATTTGAAGATACAGAGAATTTTATACTTAAGTGCCAAACATGGGATGGTGGATTTGGAGGTTACCCTGGAATGGAAGCTCATGGGGGATATACGTACTGTGCGATAGCATCGCTTAGAATGCTTGGAAAACTTGATTACTGTCGTTTGAGACCACTGATGGTATTTACATTGTCTTAAGTTATATAGTATTAACCCCCATTTGTATCAAAAAGGAGAATGAGTCGAGTTACTCAATATTATTTAGTGTAAAATGATCCACAAGTGACAGTCCCTTTAATTATCCATGATGTCAATACTTGGTTGACAAACAGCTTGCATTATCAACGATTGTTCTTTTCAAAACAATTTAACGGATCGCTATACTGCTTTCAGATTGTTCTTCATTCAGTGAAATAACTCTAATTCAGTGCTTGCAGGTTATTTTGCGCTTGTTAATACGGCCCACACGTTGAGCATCGAATACTTATTTTATCTATGCAAATGGTTAAAAAGTCCATTATTTTATTTTTATTTGTTTTCAGAGATGGTTAGCGAACAGACAAATGAGCTTAGAGGGTGGGTTTCAAGGACGTCCTAACAAACCAGTAGACTCTTGCTATTCATTTTGGCAGGGTGCATGTTTTCCAATAATTGACGCAACATTAACGACAAAAGAGTGTACATTAAAATCTGATTATTGGTTGTACGATCAAAAGGCCTTGCAAGAATTTTTAGTATATTGCTGCCAGGATTTTCATGGTGGCATGGTAGATACACCTGAAGAGTACGAAATTCTATTATTGCAGTATATAGTATAACAAAAATACAACATTATATGTCTATTTTAGCAAATCAGATATCTATCATACATGTTATGGGCTTAGCGGATTATCAATTGCACAGATGTCTCCACACCCACTGATTATTGGGACTACTCTCAAAAGTATGTTGAAACTGATTCATCCTTTATATAATTTAGAACATACTTGTGCAACCAGAGCAATAAGTTACTTTAAGCAAAATCCAATATCTTAGTAACTATGTGTTTTATATTTGAAGTGCATTAATAGAGTAACAAGTGTTTCTATTCCATTTATGGGAAAAAAATTGAAAGGGACAGATTCTATTTCACTTCGTATATAAATTTACCAACAAATTGTGAATATAAAGTTACTTATCAATAAAATTAAGAATTACGACAATTCAATCAGAAATTTTTATAATCATACTATACCAACATTTTGTAGAGTATGTGGGAAAATAATGAACTAAATTTTTATTTATTTAATTTCAACCTAACCTATCCTGTTTAAGTATAAAACATCGAAGCAAACACACCGACGCAAAGTAAATTTAACATATAGATAGTTAACAAACTGTATTTACAATTTGGTATTAATAACTGTTATTACGTTCTTTTTAATAGAATTTCATCATCAACGTATATAACATTTCTATTATTAATGAAATCCATATTTGTAGGTTTGTTTCAATTTTTTTTAAATCGAATTGCCTCTAAATAAACTCACATTGTGTCACAACTGTTTGGAATGGTATATTAGAAATATTTTTTTTTAATGAAAATTCGGTTTATGAACTTCCACGAATGTGTTTCACTGCGTTGTATGTAAGTCCAAATGCGTCCGGAAATGCCGAAAGCACGAGCAACACCGTGTTACTATCATGTTGTATAGAAAAAAAACCTTCGTGAAGTTCTAAGGTCAGTAGTGTCATCGTTTTAAAATCTTAAAAAATAAATTCTACAAGGATAAAGCGCATTTTAAAGGTTGAAACTTATAGATAAGGGAATAACATCACGAAAAATTTTGACAATCAAGTTGGAGAAAGAGGTTATGGCGAAATACTTGATACAAATAGTTATAATGGGCACGCGAGTCGTCGGCAAAGCATTTGCACGAGCATTGCAACAAGAAATTGCAGCAAGTCAAGAAGCTGCGCGCAGAGCAGGCGGTGGAAAAAGAGGTGCTCAACATGCAGCAGCTAATTCCAGAACTGGAATTACCTTAGATGAAGCATTACATATACTGAATGTTGAACGACTGGATCAAACAGAAGCTATCGAGCGTAATTATAAGCATCTCATGGAGGTTAATGACAGATCTAAAGGTGGTTCTTTTTATATTCAGTCGAAAATAGTGCGTGCCAAAGAACGTATCGATGAGGAACTAAGTAATCAAAATATTCCTCCCCCAAAAGAAAGTTCTGTACGACAAGATAGCACTAAAGAACTTTAGTTGATGTTTCTGTAGTCTAAATTGAATTATTACATCCTCAAAGTCTGTATATACACATTTAGCGATCTACATTTTAATTATAAATAAATATTATGAAACATGTAATTGATCAAAATTGCCATAACTGTATTTTGTTATTAGCTAAAATATTAAACTGAAGGATATTTTGTTAAATTAGTATATCAGCCTTTATCTTGTATATTACAGTATTTGTATCGACTATAAATCGATCGATCCTACTTTTGAATGGGAAAACAACAGGTTCAGAATAAATAATCACTGGATCTTGTGTATGGTTGTGTGTGTACATATATGTATACATATAAATATTTTATATATGTATATATATATATGCAGATGTTTATATAAATAAATGTTCCTAAGAAACGTATAGATTTATGTGACAGTCTTTCAATACAAGTTCTCGCTCTTATACGAGTCCTTTTATGTATAGATTACTTAAAATTCATTATTCATCTTATATTTAGTTTTTTTATACATTATGCCTATATATCGGAACAACTATGAAACAAGAAGTATAATCATTATTATCCATGGACTGATTATAGTCAAAGTCTAACCGGACTTTGAAATGATAACATAAAACTTAAATGTAAAGTTTCATTTAAATTCATTTAGCTATTTATACTCAATCGTATTAATAATATACATATGTGCACTCATACATGGGACTAATAAAAAAAATTTCTTTTTTTTCAATAATTAAAATATGATCAGGTGGTCTTAAAACGTGTATTTCCGTAAAATAAATTTTACAAAATTTTTTTTCATTATGGGTACTTTGCTTATGTGCGCCTACATAGGTCGGAAAGTAAAAATGCCTGGGCAGTCGAGAATCTCGGCTCGAGAATCCAAATCCTATGCCGTTGACGGGAGGTGGGATTTCAGTTGTTAAGAGCGACAAGGCAAATGTGAGCCTTTCTCTCTCGACTCCCACGAGGCGATCCGAAATTACTTCGGGCAGCTTCGGAGAATCGAGAAAGAGAGCATGCGTCAGTTTGTCTTTGTCGACTTTCCGAAACTCCACGAGCTCACGTACGCGTATCTGGCATGTGCAGTGTGCACCCGACGGTGCTTTTCTGGCATCACTGCTCTATCGACTTTCCGAAACTCTACAAGTTCACGTATGTACGCGTGATTTGGTATAGTTTAAGAGAGTGCCTTCGGTGCACTTCTGACATCTCTGCGATCGTTGCCCCGTATAAAGTTCCGTTATTTATTTATCAAGAATTTTTATGGAATTTTCTAAACCAGTCAAACAAGAAGCCACGCATTTTTACTCGATTTTAATACTACACCGAAGTTAAACTGAAGCGATTTCCAGTACGCAATTACGCATGACTAAAATCTCCGCCCCACCTGACTGTACTAGTCGTGATATTAATATAAAGTATTCGCGTGTGTTCAATAGATTATGGGGGACTCAATGCATAAATATAATGATCCTAATCAAAGAAGTTATACCGAAATATTTCAAGAGAAGCAGGATGACGAAAATAAACAATCCGAATCATCGCTCCTTCAGGCATGTTCTTTTTTATGTCAATAAATACAATCGGTCTGTCTATCTTCCATCTTTTCATCAACTTATATGTGTTTACGTTTCGATTGCAGACTAGCATAGAAAATAAAGCACTTAAGTTATACAAGTTAAATGAACCCAAAACACATCAACCCACTTTGATGAAAGAAAAACACATAAAACTGTTAAAAGAGTCTATACATCATCTTGATAAAGATTACGAGGCAAGTGCCATTATTTATCATTTTTTAATATAAAATTTATAATTTTATTCTCCAGTATAATATTTTCAGAAATCTGATTGTAGCAGAACATGGTTATGTTACTGGATTTTACATTCCCTCAATATATTAGATGCCCGTTTAGACAACAATGTAAACTTACAAATTGTTGGTTTTTTGGCCAAATGTCAATCACGGAAAGGAGGATTCGGAGGTGGTCCAGGACTACTTCCTCATTTAGGTTCTACTTATGCAGCAGTGAATGCATTATGTAGCATTGGTAGTCTTGAAGCATATCAAGTAATTAACAGGTACATACAAATTAAATAAATAGAATGCCAGACAATCATCTACACTAAAGCTTCATATATATCCTTGAAAAAATTATATGTACATTGATTCCAGGGTAACACTTAAAAAGTTTTTATTATCTCGACGACAAGAGGATGGTTCTTTTAGTATGCATGAAGATGGCGAAGTAGACATGAGAGGAGTATATTGTGCACTCGCTGTAGCATCACTGACAAATATATACACTCGCGAATTATTTAAAGATACAGCGAATTTTATACTTAAGTGCCAAACATGGGATGGTGGATTTGGAGGTTACCCTGGAATGGAAGCTCATGGGGGATATACGTACTGTGCGATAACATCGCTTAGAATGCTTGGAGAACTTAAGTACTGTCGTTTGAGACCACTGATGGTATTTACATTGTCTTAAGTTATATAGTATTAACCCCCATTTGTATCAAAAAGGAGAATGAGTCGAGTTACTCAATATTATTTAGTGTAAAATGATCCACAAGTGACAGTCCCTTTAATTATCCATGATGTCAATACTTGGTTGACAAACAGCTTGCATTATCAACGATTGTTCTTTTCAAAACAATTTAACGGATCGCTATACTGCTTTCAGATTGTTCTTCATTCAGTGAAATAACTCTAATTCAGTGCTTGCAGGTTATTTTGCGCTTGTTAATACGGCCCACACGTTGAGCATGGAATACTTATTTTATCTATGCAAATGGTTAAAAAGTCCATTATTTTATTTTTAATTGTTTTCAGAGATGGTTAGTGAACAGACAAATGAGCCTAGAGGGTGGGTTTCAAGGACGTCCTAACAAACCAGTAGACGCTTGTTATTCATTTTGGCAGGGTGCATGTTTTCCAATAATTGACGAAACATTCAGAAACCTATATAAATTAAATTCTGATTATTGGTTGTACGATCAAAAGGCCTTGCAAGAATTTTTACTATTTTGCTGCCAGTTTTTTCATGGTGGCATGGCAGATACACCTGGAGAGTACGAAATTCTATTACTGCAGTATATAGTATAACAAAAATACAACATTTTATGTCTATTTTAGCAAATCAGATATCTATCATACATGTTATGGGCTTAGCGGATTATCAATTGCACAGATGTCTCCACAACCACTGATTATTGGGACTACTCTCCAAAGTATGTTGAAACTGATTCATCCTTTATATAATTTAGAACATACTTGGGCAACCAGAGCAATAAGTTACTTTAAGCAAAATCCAATATCTTAGTAACTATGTGTTTTATATTTGAAGTGCATTAATAGAGTAACAAGTGTTTCTATTCCATTTTTGGGAAAAAAATTGAAAGGGACAGATTCTATTTCACTTCGTATATAAATTTACCAACAAATTGTGAATATAAAGTTACTTATCAATAAAATTAAGAATTACGACAATTCAATCAGAAATTTTTATAATCATACTATACCAACATTTTGTAGAGTATGTGGGAAAATAATGAACTAAATTTTTATTTATTTAATTTCAACCTAACCTATCCTGTTTAAGTATAAAACATCGAAGCAAACACACCGACGCAAAGTAAATTTAACATATAGATAGTTAACAAACTGTATTTACAATTTGGTATTAATAACTGTTATTACGTTCTTTTTAATAGAATTTCATCATCAACGTATATAACATTTCTATTATTAATGAAATCCATATTTGTAGGTTTGTTTCAATTTTTTTTAAATCGAATTGCCTCTAAATAAACTCACATTGTGTCACAACTGTTTGGAATGGAATATTAGAAATATTTTTTTTTAATGAAAATTCGGTTTATGAACTTCCACGAATGTGTTTCACTGCGTTGTATGTAAGTCCAAATGCGTCCGGAAATGCCGAAAGCACGAGCAACACCGTGTTACTATCATGTTGTATAGAAAAAAAACCTTCGTGAAGTTCTAAAGTCAGTGGTGTCATCGTTTGAAAATCTTAAAAAATAAATTCTACAAGGATAAAGCGCATTTTAAAGGTTGAAACTTATAAATAAGGGAATAACATCACGATAAATTTTGACAATCAAGTTGGAGAAAGAGGTTATGGCGAAATACTTGATACAAATAGTTATAATGGGCACGCGAGTCGTCGGCAAAGCATTTGCACGAGCATTGCAACAAGAAATTGCAGCAAGTCAAGAAGCTGCGCGCAGAGCAGGCGGTGGAAAAAGAGGTGCTCAACATGCAGCAGCTAATTCCAGAACTGGAATTACCTTAGATGAAGCATTACATATCCTGAATGTTGAACGACTGGATCAAACAGAAGCTATCGAGCGTAATTATAAGCATCTCATGGAGGTTAATGACAGATCTAAAGGTGGTTCTTTTTATATTCAGTCGAAAATAGTGCGTGCCAAAGAACGTATCGATGAGGAACTAAGTAATCAAAATATTCCTCCCCCAAAAGAAAGTTCTGTACGACAAGATAGCACTAAAGAACTTTAGTTGATGTTTCTGTAGTCTAAATTGAATTATTACATCCTCAAAGTCTGTATATACACATTTAGCGATCTACATTTTAATTATAAATAAATATTATGAAACATGTAATTGATCAAAATTGCCATAACTGTATTTTGTTATTAGCTAAAATATTAAACTGAAGGATATTTTGTTAAAATAGTATATCAGCCTTTATCTTGTATATTACAGTATTTGTATCGACTATAAATCGATCGATCCTACTTTTGAATGGGAAAACAACAGGTTCAGAATAAATAATCACTGGATCTTGTGTATGGTTGTGTGTGTACATATATGTATACATATAAATATTTTATATATGTATATATATATATGCATATGTTTATATAAATAAATGTTCCTAAGAAACGTATAGATTTATGTGACAGTCTTTCAATACAAGTTCTCGCTCTTATACGAGTCCTTTTATGTATAGATTACTTAAAATTCATTATTCACCAAACCAGCCACCTTTGCTTCTTCTGGCTTAATTCTATTTTGTAATTGACGAATGGTTAATCTTTCTTGATTATGACGAACAGACCATAAACTTGGCAAGTATTTTGGTTTCATATTCAAAAGAAAATGTTCCCTCCACATGCGTTCGAATTTTACCAGCCCACCTTCCTTCCTTTGAAAATATTGAACTACCTACGAGGAACGACGTGTAAATATATTTTTCAGTTTGTTATGAAACAGCTGTTCTTTTTAATCTACCAACATATACCTTCAAACCATGAGGTTGACGCTCTGTTTTATCTAGATTAGACTTTGAAATTGTTGTATTTTTTAATTCGTTGTATAATGCATCTAGGAGAATTGGTGTAACTTCTTGACCAGTACATTGTAAAATATAGTGTTCTAGTTCTTTGCAACGTATATCAGGTAATGTTCTTTTTTTTAATGCCTTAACAGCCGAATATAATTTCCACCAATTATTTACATATTTACTGCGTGTATGTGTCGGTGGAGTAGTTAAAGGCACACCACACATGTCTGCTAGCTTTCTTCTGAACTGCAGATCATGGTAATTGCTTAGTTCATGACACGCTGGACATAATAATAACACATCATGCGACTGATGCGCTTTCATCACCACTAAAAAATAATTTTAATTTTTCAATTTTTACTTTTATACGTTTTATAATATATCAATTATGTTTCAGTTTTATAACTCACATGGAAAGTATTTACGATATTCTCTGGGCACAACATTTTTTCTAATAAATTTTTCCGAAGCTCCGCATACTACGCATCGATTGATTTTAACTTGTGTATAATATTGCCCAACTTCTCCTACAGCACGTCCAGAAGGTTCAAATTTTAACCTCACGGTGAATGGTTCCTCCGAAATTACGTCCCCTAATCCTTTATTAATGTACCATTTAGCTTTCTTGTGATCACACGTACACAATACATCTCCATCCGGGGCTTGTAAATAACAATTATAATATAATGGTTTACTTCTTGTAGACATATTGTGTTTATATACATTGTTGTTTTCCTTCAAATCTTGTGTAAACTCTTCAAAATTTTTGATTTTAGCGTTTCTGTGATTAACAGTTGTGTATATCTTTTGATCCTTGAACCTTAAATAAATAATTTTTAAATCTCTATATATCGAAACAACTTTTACAGAAAATTAAATCTCTTCGTATAAGGAATATCTTATTACCTTGTATCGATTATTCCACTAGGTAAATAACGTAATTGCATATTCACATTTTTATTACATATACTTCTAATATAATTTATAAAGTTTTCCCACAAGGAATACTTTTCTTTTATCATTTGCACAATCTAAAAAATATAGAGCAGTTTAAACGTTATTTAATTTATCTTTTATAGAAACTATTAAAATAAGTACGAATTGTTATATTTCTTTTCACCTGGTCATAAATAAGAACAGACGTAATTGCATCGCAAGCAGCATATGCTACTTGTTCGTCGGTAAGAGTGTCAGCATTCCAATTGTTACACCTTACTTCTATTAATTTATCCATTTCCAAGCCTAAATACTGTAAACTCATTGCAGCTAAACTTCTAGGACTTGGCAAATTTGCATGTTCCGCTAATGTTCTTAAATCAAGCGTACCGCCGACTCTGCACCCGTAATCTGATATTATTTTTTGCCCGTCTTCGTAGGAAGCGACTCCAACTTTAAGAATACGTTTACTAGCGAGCAGCTCCTGAAAGAATATTTTTTCCTTCGTAGTTATACGATATTTTGTGTTTATGTCCTTTGTAATTATAGTAAAAACATTGTACTTTTAATTTGTGAGGAACGTATCCAATTTTGCTAATGCGAAACAGGCCGCATACTCCGTTAACTGTAGCAAGCTGAACTAGAGAAACAGGTCCTTCTTTAACCCATTCACAGTCAAAACCCAATATATCATTAGATAAGTTGCTTTAACATAAAACATATTTACATAGAGCTGTGTAGGTAGAGAATATAATTTTAGTTTTTGTATTTTTAATTATTTGTTCTAGCTTAAAATCTGAAAAATCTAAATTTATTATAAACGATATTATAAGAACTATACGAATGGAAAAATAATAAACATGACTAATGTTCCAGGCAGCCGTAGACAAACATAGGATATAGAAAAAATGTAAACATTGTGTTGCCATGTAGTTGATAAACACGACAGACAATGGTGTCAAGGTATACCTCTCAACATACAACTTACCAGCGAATACACTGAATGGCATAGTCACATTTTTCCGGAGTATCCGCCAAAATAATTTTGTCTAATGTAATTTTAAGATCCCTTTTCTTGTCGTCGCTCTTCTTATAATTTTTATTCTTTATAGTTTGGCAAAGATGTTTAACGCTTTGCAGTACATTCTTGCGATATTTAGAGGCCAACAATACAAGGCCCACGGTTACACATACAAGAAACATATTGTTCCTTGCAGGATGCATTAATCGCGAGAATAGGTTCCAATACGCGGACAAAAATTGTTATTAAAAATTCTATGTACAATTTATATTTCTTTGTTTCGAGTTTACTTAAATAAATAAATATATATATATATATATATACACATAAACTTTGTTTGTTTAAGATACAAATACATCGGTAATCGAATATATTAAATAAATAAGTTAATCGCAAATCTACCGTTACGCTTAAATTTGAATTCTAAATCGATTGATCGTAAATAAATAGCCGATAGTTGAAAAATAACAAGGACAAGAAATTCCACGTAAAGTACGCTTTGATTATTATGTTATAGAAGACTTTTGAATAATCGCGCGAAAGGTACATCACGATCTTAATTACAAAGGTTAAATAATTAACCGAACAAGGTTCAAGGAAATCCGTAGCCACTCGGAGAAACGATCAACGCACGGTGCTACAAATCACTACGGATGTGACACACGATCAGGGAGCAAATATACCGGGCCAACATACCGGTCCCATCAGGAAATCTATGGTTGCCGGATGGGTTAGATTTACTCGCGCATGCGTGCCGAAAACATTAACGTATGTACATACGTGTTCCACGTACTGATCTGTATTGTATACGGAACTATAAGGAAAGTGTTTTTGCGGGTCTAACACGCGGCAGCAACAGGTGATACAGATTAGGGCGTTTAAAGTAAGTGAATCGGTATTACTGTTCCTTTAATACGTAAAATTACATGATACATAGTTATTGTACATTTCTTCCTGTTTTAGTCTCTTTATGAGGCTTCTTATTAATCTTTCAAAATGTTTTGGATGATTAAGATAAAACAGGACAGAGATCATACGATATACATTTTCGCTCATAAAAAATACTTTAATGATAATGTTTTTGAGGTACAAAACATAAAAAAATCTAGCCCATTGCCGATAACACCGGTCCAAGTTTAAATTTTATACATGTATGTATGCGTATGGTGTTAAGCTATGTTTAGTTAACGCAAAATGGGTAGGTGGCGTTAGTATACATTACGATGTAGGAAGTTCGCAGTAGGAAGTTTGCACTCCTTCGGGAAGGGTGTCGAGGAACGTTAGGAAGCGTATAGGGAAGTGTGTGGTTAGGTTATTAAAGAATCATTAGAAGAATTATTGTTCAAGAAGAACAATGATGCGTCTTTCGTAGCAGTACAGAAAAGAATGCCACGAAGTGCTCCTCGTGTCCCGGCTTAGTGGGTGAGTTAACAGACCATCTGTTGTGGTTTCTGGTCTCGTATTTAAGGTTAACAGCACTGTTGTATATACAATTTTGATTTTGTTGCTTGGATAATATATATATAATATATAAATATTATAGATATTATTATAGATATATATAATTTGCGAAATTTATTGTTAATAAGAGACAAAATAGTACCTAAATGTTGCAATAAAAAACGGTAATTAAACATGAAAAGGGTGAAACTTAAGCTGAAGAAACCGAATCCATTGTTTGAACTTTGGTTAGAGAAATGGAGGAAACAGGCTGCGTTCAAAAACCCCGATTTACAATATAGTTTCTCGAAAGCGCTCGCTTCTTTGAGAAAATATCCCCTACCGTTAAAGTCTGGAAAAGATTGTATAATATTACAACATTTTGGTAAAAAGTTATGTTTGTTGTTGGATAAAAGACTTGAAAAGCATAAAAGTTTGGAGGATGCCGATGATTTTGTTTGTATAAATTGTAAAGCCAAGAAAGAGCATGTATCTAACGGAGGGCATAAATCGAATGAAAGCGTAGAAAGTCTTAACGAAGACGATACAAATAAACAAATAATTGAACACGAAGACAATTTCGTACCACAAATTCATAACTCTCAGTCTGCAGAATTGATCGATAATAAAAAAAATAGCGAGCAACCGGATGAGTGTTCTCCGAAACAGAAACCTGAGGAAAATGATATTAATATAAAAGAATCAGAAGAAAATTTAAACAAAGTTGGAAGCATCGATGAACGTATATCGAATAAAGGAGAAGACGATGCAACGGATCTTATCAACAATATTCAAAAAGATATTTATTTAAAATCAAATGAATTTGATATAATACTTTTAGTAGATACGCAAGAAATTTCTGGCGGTAAAACAAAACCTCAACACGACGCTACAATAAAGGAATTATCTAAACTCGATATACCGTTTGAGATACGTCATTTAAAGGTTGGAGATTTTGCATGGATTGCCAGATGTAGAGACACGAACAACGAACTGATTCTACCCTATATAGCGGAAAGAAAGAGAATAGACGATTTAAGTGCAAGTATTACGGACGGAAGGTTTCACGAACAGAAGTTTAGATTGAAGCAATCTGGAATTGAACATCTTCTGTATATAATCGAAGAACACGATAAAGCTCAAAGATTAACAATACCACATTCGTCGTTGATACAAGCTTCCGTTAATACTTTAATACAAGATGGATTTTCAGTAAAATATACAGAAAATCATAAAAATTCTATGTTTTATTTGTCTTCGTTAACAAGAATTTTAAATGATGTGTTTAAAGTATGTAACTTCTTCGAAGAAATTTATTATTTCAATTTGAGCAAATAGCGTACTTTTCTCTGAAAAGGGTTACTCTTCTTTTAGGAAAAGAATTTGGTAGGCTCCAAAAAAGAAGAGCTTGTAGAAACGAATGTTTTAAATAGTACTCTTAAACTCATGGAATTTAAAGAGTTTAATAAAGCAGCGTCTAAGCAGAAAGTACGCGCGAAATTTCTATCAGATAACAAAATTAATTAATATTTACGCAACTAACCGTCTTTTTCTTTTAGGTATTTAACGTAAGTCAAATGTTCATTCGTCATCTGCTACAATTAAAAGGGATATCTGTAGACAAAGCTTTTGCAATTGTAGAGCATTATCCAACTCCGCAAATATTGTTTAATGCTTTACAAAAATCCGATTCCAATGGAGATTCGTTGTTATCGAATATTGAGTTTGGAGATAAAAAAGCGTTGCTTGGAGCAGCCATCAGTAAAACAATTTATCGGTTATACACAATGAAAAATCTAAATTGATAAACGATATTTTATACGAATACAGCACAACAAATTATTACTATTAGAATTAGAACAGATATTATGAATTCGTAAACGAACAGCGTATTGAAATATCAATTTTAATTGCAATCAATCAAACATACATTGTTTTAAATAGGTTTATTTTATGCATGGTTGTTTATACACGATATCTATAAATCGTAGTATATCCGGCGAGACTGATTTCTCATTTAAATGAATTTTAATATTTTGATTTAAGTGGATGTTATATACAATTTCTATTAGTTCGCGATAAGTTTAAACAAAAATAGATATTGCAATTAAAAATAATATATTTATACATGTATTTCCTTTTTATGATCGATTCTATAATTAGCCTGTTAATTCTTAGTTCTTGATTAAATAAAATTAAACGTTGTTCTTACAGGTCGTGTAACTGATTTTAGGACTCGGGTGTACGATTGCTGCGTTCGAGTATTTTTTTGTAACGTTCAACTAAGTCACTGATCGAATGTCTGCTATGTTTTTTAGATTCCATTTCTACGGTATCATTGTTGCAATCGTTCTTAATTTCCGTTTCTATTGTTTCGCATATATGCATCATATTAAGATCATTTGGAAGGGCATTTATCACATCCTCCATTTCGGACGAATGTTCATGTTTATCTTCCTCCTCTTCGTTAATCAGTTTCTTCGGAGTAGTAATTTTTATACTAACATCGCAAAGACTTTTCGCAGAAATGTTAACGCTGAGTTCCGAAAGGTCACGTATTTCTTCAATCGCGTTTGAAATTGTAGTCGAGTTCGCTTTCGATGAACACGGTATAGACATTATGCTTGAATTTGCTGTGAAAAAAAGATATAATATTTTTTTATCGAAATATTAAAGTTGCAAAAATAGCATATTATTTACAAACCTGCTTTGTTATTTCTTTTTGTACAAGTAGAAAATAATCGGGAATATTTTTCCGAGTTTTTGAAGGTTGGTAAACGTTTTTTATACGACATTGAAAATGTATGTAAAGATGGTCCCTCGTTGTTCGTGGACAACATCGTATCATCAAAATCAATCCGAGGTGCTAAATTTTGTTTAACTCTCAATGCTGATTCGTGCGAGGTATCATTTTTCTTTAAACGTTCGTACCTCGAAAATAATGGTTTGTGCGTGCCTGAAAAATAATTTTAGATATAGTATCACACATTTAATGTTGTATCAATTTTACCTTCCACTGGAGTAAATTGTACTCTTTTCCGCAGGTCACTCTCTTCGTCGCTACAATCGGTATTAATTTTTATGGTAGGCGATGACATTAAAAGCATACTAGCCCCTGCAGGTAGTACGGTATCGTTGTAAGCCTTTACCGTATTCTTTTCTCGTAAAGTATCTTTTTTCTCCGACAACATTTTTCCGACATCTGACAAATACGTTTCGAAAATATTTGACGCTTTCGTCATATCCTCGCAACTAGCTTCTACTTGCAATAAACAGTCCGAGAAGCTTTCCGGTGGGTTTGATTTCAATTGTCGCAACAATTCAGTTAACAGTAAATTGAATAGTAAAACAAAATTACGAAATACCAATTTGTCATCTTTGTACAATTGGTATAAGATACACTGAAATTTGAAATATTTTTAGTTCTTTGTACTTTGTTAATAATTATTAACAGTTCTATTCGGAGTCTCTTACTTGTATCTCGTGAGAAAATGATTCCGAAATTTCTAAATAATTTATCTTTCGGAATTGGTTTACGTCTGAAATATTCGCATCGCCGCTCCTGTTTGGTATTATGTCGTTTACTTTGCAGCTGAGTTCTTTTGTATTTTTTAAAGTCATATTTTTATTCTTCAGGTAGTACAAACCATCATTTATATGGATCGTCCACACTGAAATTTATAAATAATTATTAAATATACATATTAAAATTAAAACTTCTATACGTACTAACGTACACTAACTTTCTATTGCCTCTTCGTTGTTCGGATCTATAATGTGTTCCTTTATCAACGGATGAACAGGAGCAACGGACGAAAGAGTTGCGAGCAGTTGTTTTTTTTCAAAAATGTTTGTTGTAACGGTACTTAATACTTTCCTCTCGTTCCTGAAAAGTAAAACGATAAGATTACATTTTCAGTAAAAATTATATTTCACATAAACTAAAAAAAAATCATAAGCATTACTCTAATACAGTTTTAGCCTTTGTCATCATTTTTGACAAATTTTTTTGTTTATTTAAAATATTAGCGACAAGTTTTTTATTAGCCTTCTGTAAAAATTTTTTCCCTAAACTTCCTTCGACTGCTACTTGCGGTACAGAAATAATATTATAGGCAGCTATAAGAAATAAAGTACAATTACGACAATACATTAACTGAAGAAAATAAAATTTAAATACAAAATTATTTTCACGGAACATATATTACTTTGCGAAGTAATTAAATATTTTCTTAACGCCACTTGTGACAGTTTCCACATGATGATCGTAAACTTATTTCCACCTGCATGAATCAAATGAGATGCGAGTATGTTTGGAAAACCGATATCTGGATTCTCTGTAGATATAACTTGTAAAAAACTTTTGACGTTGTTACGATATTGTGCTTCTGTCTTTTTACAAACCACTGGCCATTCGCACAGGGTTTTAAAACGTTTTGAATCATATATAGTTAACAAATAATGAGATACGTGTAAGAAACCTGCTGTATTAGGTTTACTGAACATATTCTGGAAATAAAGGAAATTCGTTCAAGAGATTTATAGGAAAATTTTATGAAAGTATCGTACCCAAAGATTCTTATACCTTGCGAAAATATTTCTTAAATTCATCGCTAGGCGAAATTACTTGGGATAGTAAGGACACATTACGTTCAAAAGACGCACTCACAGCCATCATGTTAAAATAAAATTGACGACGATTAACTATAAAGTTAAGTAACGTTAACTGATATAACAATATAGTAAAACAGATTGTTTAGGCAGAAGGTATGTCGATAACTTTATATCGCTTCATATTAACGAGAATCGACCCTTTCACATGATCGGCTATATCGGACTCCGCGAAAACCAGTGAAAACATTTAAACATTTCAAATTTGTGCATAGTTTCTATTCTAATAGAAAGGAAACTAACATATGGGATTATGTACTTCGTTAGACTCGTTTTCACGTAGCAGTAAAATTCATGAAAGTTCTCTGGCCCCTCGTCCCTATATTACGAACAGTTAGTTACTAGATAGCGAGTAACTAGATTGAGGAAAGTTAGTTAATTAATGTAATAGAGTTTAAGCGCACGTAGGATTAAGAAATATAGATTTTATATATTTTTGAAGGGAGCTGGACGTGAAATATTCGCCCGATTGGCACGCCACCCCCCGGAGGAATAATAAACCAAGTGAATCTAGAGAAATCCCTTTTAACAATAGTGTGGTCATTTTCTCCGTGAATGGAGCCAGTCAAGTATTACCAGACCGCTGTCCAGAGAAGTTTTCGATGAATTTTTATTCCCAATTCTTTCGAAAACTTGTATACTGTAACTTATCATTTAAAAAACTCTGATATAAAATTGCAGACTAGATGCAAAATGGATTTTCGTATGAAATGATTTAGGGTACTACGTAGAGACAAAGAGGCTACAGTTTTCATTCAATTAAAAAACAAAAGAATTCCTGTAATATCATTTTCTACCATAATAAGCGTTACGATTGTTCTCCACAGTCTGTTGGTAATGTTACGAGTTACATGAAAATGATAATGGGTCTCTAGAGGCCCAGAGGAATGGATCGAAAAAATGCATCTAATCATCTGTGATTAGATGTAATGTTATTTGCATATTTGTCTGTGATAATGTATAGAGATCAGTGGATTATCATCTGCACAGATTTTTGGTCAAGGAGGTGGCGCCATAGAAATGAAAGATTCTCAATCATTTCCCTATAGGCGGCAGCACGATCTTCATAAGGGTTTAATGTCATGGATGTACAACACAATCTTTGCTCGCATTGTCACATTAGATATCAGTCTGATGCAAAGTATTGAAAGTCTTGACGTATGATATTTTTGCGGTTGTTCGGGAGTCTGATCCGGTATTTTTCACTGTGCTTTAAGGTAAAAGAATTATCGCCATTGTTTAATCTTTGTTATATTAAACAAGAATTGTTTCGATCTAACGCGAACAAAGTATATTACATGTGGTGTTCACATGAATTTCCGAGTGATTATGAATTCTGTGCGTGTTAAATTTATTTAGAATTCGTTCGTTTAAGCGCACAATGTTCCGTTTAATTGTACGAGTGGTACACGTGCTATCGTTTAAGAACCTTTTGCGAAAGTGTCGTTAATACGAGTTTGAAAGAAGATTTATGGGTTATGTTCGTTAGAAACGTGTTGTAGCTTGTTGCTGTTTAGAATTCGGCATTCGATACCAGATGCTCGGATTATCGTTGATTGTAAATTTTTCTCGTTGAAATAAAAGATTCGTTTCGATGATACCGTGTAAAATTAGGAATGTTCTTTTAGAATGTCTGGCCGTGATGGCGGTAAGAAAAAGCCTCTTAAGGCGCCGAAAAAGGATTCAAAAGTTCTGGACGACGAAGACTTAGCGTACAAGCAAAAGCAGAAGGAGCAACAGAAAGCGCTCGCCGAGGCTACGAAAAAAGCCAGCCAAAGGGGCCCACTTGTCACAGGTGGCATAAAGAAATCTGGCAAGAAATGATCCAGCCAAGACTGACGAAAATCACGATCTTTGTACGCGCTATTGTTCTTATCGAGGCATGATTTTGACATCAATTAGTGTACCGACCGAAATATCTTTCGGCCCCTCAATTCTGCGAAATGGTTAACACTTGTAAATAAACGTTCATGAATTAAATTATACAAAAGTACACATTTAATAGACGTTTATGTTTCTCCATTTAATGTACCGATTAAAAACGCTTGGACGATTTAATCGATACATTTTATACGTTCGTGACCGATTCGTTCGTGTATCAGATGTCGACCGCAATAAAACAATAAGAATCTGAACGGGTTTTATAAAAACTAAAACGATCTTCTATTCCGTTATCGTTGATTTGTTACGACCGATCAAAGTCCGCGTCTATAATCGTTGCAATATTCGTGTTTTACGATTGCTTAACGCTAGATTTGTTCTCATTTAACTGACGAATAATAAACCGTTACATCGATTAACCTTGACGCTAAAATACTCTAAAGATTTCGAACGTATCCCGACAATGCAGTCACGCGTATTTAATCGGGATTATTATTGCGCAAGACCTTTGACAAAATATACAGATGTTAAGACTAGCAAATAATGCGGTGTAAATAACATGTATCAATCGATTATTTCGCATATGGATTTCTTAAATCAAGCGTAGGCATATGCCCATTGATGAAACGTGAATTACAGCTGATTGCCATATGATCGACAGCGCCGGCAACTTTAAAAAAATAAATCCCTTTATCGTACCGTCTACGATTCTTTTCGTTCCGTGCACAGCCGATTGTCGTGTACGATGTAAGCGTTATAAAAGAATAATAGAAACGAATTCAGTGTCGTACGTGTTCCGTAAGAATCGTAGTCACAGTTGGTACTGCCAATAAACCGTCAAATAGCAATAACATTAAATTTCGACCGTTATTCCGTTTCCCATTCTTTCACGTTCAAGTCGTAAAGAATACCATTGCGTTGCTCGCAAAGCCGCGACAAGAAATCGCGATAACGAACACGTTTTAATTTCCCGAGGTCGTTGGATCGATTATACATTGTTCCTCGACCAAGAAATACCGTTCCTACTTTCGAGCATTCTGACATAAGAGCCATCGTTCGGTTTTAGGTGGACCTTTGTTCGACATCGCGCTAGCCACCGAGCAGTTACTTTATCGAGCACGGGTTGGCGAGCGTGCTAGCCAGCAGAGAGCTGTCACTGGCTGGGTCAGTTGGCAACAGACCTTCGAGGTGGTCGTGAGTGCTTGTGTCGCTGCAAGTCCCGCACCCGTCAAACATCTCTTTGACGCAAAGGACGATCGAAAAGGGTTTCTCGTGCGTGGGCCTGACGCAGCAAGGACGAGTACGGGTGTGCGTCGTTAGTTCGGAAAAAACCATGGGGTTCGTCAGGATCATTTGACCCACGGGAACGACTCCAGGCTCGGTGGATCGTGCTACCTCGCTTAGATAATATAAATCGGTAAGTAACGAAACGATATTTTTTATTACTTCGAGCTGCGTGACAGTTCGTTCACGGCCTTTCGGTCGAAGGCAGAAAGGGAGATGGACATCCTCTTCTCTTTTTCTCGCTGCGTCCATCGCGTAAATGCTCGGTCTACGTACCCTGGATCGCGTATGCGTGTGTGTGTTGCGTGTAGCCACAAAGGGACACCATGTTATTCACCTGCATTACGGTGTACCATATTGCAAACCTTGTGCTTTTTCTCTGCTCCCTCCACCCTCGGAGGGTTGTGCCGTAACTACTGGCGAGATGATCGAGTGCGATTTCCTGGCCTGACATGTGTGGGTAACACGGTGGCTGTACGAACGTGCCAGTCCCGTACGTGTATCGTGTCGCACGAAAGAAGGAGAGAGAACGAGAGACATTACACTCTGTTTAATGCGTATATCTTGTCCCTCGCCACGCGTACCTCGTCCCGGAGCTTCTCATTCGAATCTCTCTGCTTCGCGCGGAGGGCCCTTTTACGGCCCGTAAAGCTTCTCAACGAATCGACGCGTACAAAACTACGTTGCCCGTGAGTTTCAATATCGCTCTGTAATTAGCGCTGGTGCCAGTTCCAATCTGTACTCTGTATTATAAATCGGTCGGGCATTTAAAGTTCATTTTATTAAAACGGAGCATCTCTACCCACGAGGATATGCTTTGGAGCGAGGTTACGATAATTATGTCTCCCACGAGCAATTAACGGGACGAAAGGTAATTATCAAGAACGGTGTATTTATGCTCTGACAACGGCTTTTCGGAATTTCGGACGAAAGGAGCTTATTATTTGAACAAACGTTACGGGAATTGAAAGGGAAGTTATGTCACGTCGAGAATACCCAATGGATGGTAATATTCAGTTTTCAAGGATAAATATTTGACCGTGTAATCGTCTAGATGCATTTATACGAGATTCTCGGGCAGATATCGAGCATATTAGGTTAGGGTTCGGATCGCACTAATCGTTAATTTTGTGTTCTCGAGTATTTGCACGGAATTCGGTTATTATTCGCGATACAGTGTACTCAATTAGCCGAGTGTGTTGGCACGTTCGACCCCGACTCCTTTAACCGATTGTTACAGATACTTCGAACGCGTAACGGTTACTTTATAACGCGAAATTGTTCGAGTGTATTTGCTACCACTGAACGCCTGTAAAGCGTTGTGTAACGCTCGTCGTTAGTGGATACCCAATTTTCGTCCTGTTTTTACTTGATGCCCTACACGGAAGGAAAGTTTGTATATTTTCGGACGGTATAAATTACAAACGCAGTCGCCGTTAGGCTTCGACCTTCGATCTTGTTTCTTTCGCGAGCGGATCGTGCCGCGGATCTTCCGTTTTCTTGCTAATTTTCTGGATTGATTGCGTCACGCCGGTGACGCGTAAAACTTAGCGATTAAACAGTTCTGTCTGACATAAGAGCCGGGATACGTGGTACACAACGGCTCGCGGGTAATCTTCCATCCGATCGGGTTACCTTTTTTTTTCTTTCTTTTTACGAATCGATAGACGCTCGTCTTTGTGCAAGTTTTCGTGGTTTCCAGGGGGCTCTATATAGCGTTACACTTCGTTACGTCAGACTTCGAAACACGATCAAAGACACGTGCTGGCACACGCAACGCAGCTGAGCACTACGGGCCCCGGAGCATTCATGTTGTAATTACGAAAGAAAATATCACACGTGGAAAGAAAGACGTAGTCATGGTAAGCCGCATCGTCGATTTGCTTCGTTTAATTTTATTTGTTCGTTCACTTTCTATTACGCATTTTCGGATCAGAATATTTTACAAAATTACCCTGGTTGTAAAAAGTTACGAAAAATAATATGGACAGGATCGTTATATTTTTATTAAATAAAACAGGTTGGACCAAGTTTATCGAAGTTAACATTTTTTTCTTTTTGAAGACAATTAATATATTTTTTACATCATAGAATTAACTTGTTTTAAGGACAATTACGATCATGATATAGAATCTATATTATTTGTCGTCGAAAAATATTATCTTTGGTAAAATTGTTAAATAAATATTGGGGAATATTATACAGCTCGGTCACAGTTGGGAAACATTTTAATGGGAGATTCTGGAGACCAAAGTAAGACGAAAATCAAGAATATTAATTTGTTGATGAAGGCTTCGTTAAAAAGTTATTAACGTTTAAAGTTTCGCTCGTATTGAATTTTTTTCTAGAAAGTGGATAGGATTTCGGGGATGGGGCTGTTCACCAAAAATTATTGTAATTGATCCCCGTAACCGAAAATAATTTTTCCAGAACGATTTGAAATTTTTTAATTTTGTCAAAATATTTCACACCTTCTCGAATTTTTTTCTCGAAAGTGGGTAGGATTTCTAGGGTATGTCTGATGACCAAAAATAATTGTAATTGACCCCCGCAACCGAAAATAATTTTTCCAGGACGATTTGAAATTTTTTAATTTTGTCGAAAAATTTCACAACTTCTCGAATTTTTTTCTCGAAACGGGGTAGGATTTCTAGAGTATATTGCACACGACAAAATTAAACCTTTGGACTATTTAATAAAAAAAAAAAACAATTTGTTCGAACCACATGGTACATGATATTGTTACGCTCATCTTATCCGGATTCCAACAACTATAATTCTTTCGTGCTCGTTACGTCACGTGGATGTAAGGCTTGTAAAGATACCAGACTTTACGTAGATCATTTACATGCACATAATTGATACCGAACCAAGGCCGAAATTCAATTATACGGCGAGATTCGAACGTCGTCGTTTGCATAGGAACTCGTACAAGCTTCAACAAGACGGGGTTCGTTATGAACAGAAATCAGAATGAAAAGGAAGCCGCGTGTAGGGGCTACCATTCGACCGGGATTAATCCCGTCTCCGTGTCTAGCATTCGACACAATTAAGATCGCCTCAGTGATTTCTTTAGCTGAAAGGGGGAGGTGAGAGTGGGGGGGGGAGCAGAGTTCTTTTTGTCGCGGATTTTGATGTTTGACAAACACGTGGTTTCTGTGTTTATTTTACTCGAAACTTTCAAGGGTCGTGAAAACGAGTTTAAGCCTTTGGTTTGGTCCGAAAATTTTTACCATCGTAGCTCTCGAAATTTTTATAATTTCGTCTAAAAGCTTCAGTACCTTCTCGAATTTTTTTCTCGAAAATGGATAGGATTTCGGGGGTATGTGCGTTCACCAAAAATGATTGTGATTGAGTACCACAATCAAAAATAATTTTTCCAAAACGATTTGAATTCTTTTTTTCCCTTCGAGAAATTCCACACCTTCTCGAATTTTTTTCTCGAAAGTGCGTAGGATTTCGGGGGTATGTGTAATGACCAAAAATGATTGTAATCGACCTCCGCAACCGAAAATAATTTTTCCAAAACGATTTGAAATGTTTTTTCTCCGTCGAGAAATTTCACACCTTCTCGAATTTTTTTCTCGTAAATGGATAGGATTTCGGAGGTATGTGTGTTCACCAAAAATGATTGTGATTGAGTACCACAATCAAAAATAATTTTTCCAAAACGATTTGAATTCTTTTTTTTCCTTCGAGAAATTTCACACCTTCTCGAATTTTTTTCTCGTAAATGGATAGGATTTCAGGGGTATGTGTGTTCACCAAAAATGATCGCGATCGAGCACCGCGACCAAAAATAATTTTTTCCGAATGATTTCGAAATTTCTTAATTTATATTTTTTAATAACTTTTTAACGAAGCCTCAGTCAATAAATTGGTATTCTTGATTTTCGTCTTATTTTTGCCTCTAGAATCTCCCATTAAAACTTTCCCCAGGGG